TAGTCATTTAATACTAATTCTCAAAAGTTTAATATATGTTAGTATAGCTAAAATGATATATAATCAATAAAACTTATTTTTATTAAGCTCTGGCTTGCCTTTCTAGACAGCTTCCTTTTTGTTCTGGTTTTTGTATTAGGTATTTTACTTACATATGTGATGAAATGCCTCAAAAAGACATGTTAAGAAAGTTTTTTTTTTTTTAATTTTAAGATTCATTTATTACATATACAGTGTTATGTCAGCATGTACCCCTGCATGACAGAAGAGGGCACCTGATATCATTGTGGATGGTTGTGAGCCACCATGTGGTTGCTGAGAATTGAGCTCAGCACCTCTGGAAGAACAGCCAAGTGCTCTTAACCGCTGAGCCATCTCTCCAGCCCAGAAAGGTTTTACTTTAGCTCGGTTTGAGGAGTTGCAGTCCACCACAGCAGAGAAGGCCTGGTGGCAGAGTCATGACGTCATGTTGCATCTGCAGTCAGGAAGCAGAGAAAGATGAATCCAGAGGCTCAGCTCGAGTTTTATTCAGTCCAGGATCCCAACTGATGGACAACAAACCCAATCTAGAGACTGACAGATGTGACTAGAGGTTTGTTCCCATGCTAATTCTAGATCCTGACAATTTGACAGTTTTAACCATTGCAATTTGGGGTTTGTGTTTTGTTAGGTTTGGTTTGTGTTTTGAGGGTCTTAATCAAAGGCCTTTAATCCCAGTACTTGGAAGGCAGAAGCAGGTAGATCTGAGTTCAAGGCCATCCCTGGTTTACAGAATGAACTCCAGGAGAGGCAGGACTATACAGAGAAACCCCATCTCAAAAGAACAAAACGGCTGGACAGATGGCTCAATGGATAAGAGCACTGACAGCTCTTCTAGAGGACTCAGGTACAGTTCCCAGCACCCACATGGCAGCTCGCACCTGTCCGGTTCCAGGGCTACTGTCGCACAGACAGGTAGGCAGGCAGGCAGGCAGGCAGGCAGGCAAAACACCAATGAACATTAAATAAAAAAAATAGATAAAGATCTGAGAGCATAATATACTTTGACATGTTTTTGGGTGTGCTTTCAAGTTTTTTTCTTCCCATTTACAGTCAATCCTGCCACCTGTGCTCAGCCCCTATTTTTAGAGGTCATTCATCTACAAACAAGTGACAAAGTACAAGAAATTTAGTTTTCAGAGGCATTAAGGTCAGCTATCACAAATGAGGTATTTCTTTCTGGTTTTTGCTTTGCTTAAATGGGTTCTCAGGCCAGTAAGATGGCCAGTAAAGACCCATACCCCCAAGTCTGATGACCTATCCCCAGGCCCCACATGGTAGAAGAGAACAGGTGACTTCTCCAAGTTATCCTTGCTTTTTTATTCATGGACTATGGCACCCATACACACACATAATAAATGTAATGGGAGGGTGACGGGACACACATGGTGGTGGCACATGGTTTTAATCCCAGCACTGATCTATACAGAGATCCAAGTCACCTAGGGCTTCACAGTGAGACCTGTCTCCAAAATAAGTAACTTTTTTTGAAAAGACGGACTATGTAGCCAAGCCTTGCCTTGAATTCCTGATCCTTCCTGCCTCACTATCCTTAGTACTAAGACCACAAAATGTGCATCCCCACACCGCCCCTGTGCTCACAATGCACTGACCACTGCATAGTGGGCACTTAACTTTTTTGACAACACCTGCTTTTCTGAGTGTGAGGGAACTTAAAGCATAATACCTCACCACTAAGTCAGTTCTAAAGCAAGGTCTCCTTGTAATACAGAAGGGAGATGTGGTTTTTCTCCCAGGTGTGTGTTCATCAGTGTATTCTCTCCCAATGGAGATGAACACACAAGAAAATGGTGATGAACAGAACGCATTCCAAGTGTAGTGTTCCAACAAAAGAAAGGAGGAAGTGAAGGAGGGAAAGACAAGAGCCTAACGCCCATGCTTGCATCAGATAGACCTGACCTGCGACAGCATAGTGGGCTACTGTTTTTTTTTTTTTTTTTTGTTCTTTCAAAAAACTGTGCACTCAGAGGCTAAAAGAGGCATAAAATCCCCCAGAGCTAGAGTCACAGCTACAAGCCTGACATGGGTGATAGAAATTGATCTCAAGTCCTCTGTAAGAAAAGACCTCAAGCACAAAGCTGTCTCCAGCCCATAGCCTGCTGTTCTTACTAGTGGCTGAGGGCACACTAAAGACTTAGGTAATTGGTCAGGCTATCTTTAATTTTCTCTACTGGTTCATTGGTTGTGTATCCTGTGTGTTGAGAACAGAACTCAGAAACATACTGCTTAGCCATGCCCTCAGCCCCTCACTGGGATGTTCTAGACAACAGCTCTACCACTGAGCCAAAGCCCTGGCTCTTCTTAAGTCTTCTGGTAGTTCGGGCCAAGTTAGTGAGCACTTGTCGGTCTCAGACAGGACAAGTTTTACACTCTTTGGACACCTTAGTAGTAAGTTGAGGTCACCTTAGTAGTAAACACTTGTCACCGTTCATCCTCATAGCAGGTGGTACTTCAAAAAGCAGCCTGCAAAACCCTGTAAGTGTTCCTTGCCTACACTTGTTTAAATCACTATCAGGCTGGAGTAAAGAAGACAAACCAAGTAAACCCAGACGTTTTATTCTGTAAAGCACATATGCACATACTTCAAACACAGAAAATCAATGAGGGAGGGATGCCATCACAGATCAGCTAGTGACCATCATGCAGAAAGGGACGGGAGATGGATCTGCTGTCCTCAAGTCCCACAGTGCCTGCAGGAGGGTCAAAACACAGGAGGCTGGGTTCCTATGCACTGCCAAGAACACAACAGAAACACCAGGTTCCAAATGATGAGAACTTACAAAGAGAATCAAAACTGATTCAAGTCATACTATATGGTGAAGGGACAAAAGGAAAGAGATCAATATGATCTGAAACAACCATTTCAGAGGAAGTCACTGACTTCTGACTGCACCCCCAGTCTAGGACACCTGAGGATAAGCCGGTGTGCTGGGGTCGGAGGTCTCCAGTGGCCCAGTCTAACATTCCAATCCTGAGGTTTACCAGCAAGGAGCAGCTGAGGACCAGGCCTTGTGTGGACCTGCCCAATAGTAACAAGTTCTGCAGATGTGTCTCCAGGTGCCGAAACACAGCCACACCCTCCTTCCCCAGCTATCTGCCACCTGAGGCCTGCTATGGTGAATACTAGGTTTTTGAGTATGTAACTGGCCTCAGGGATGGGTCATGTCCCAAGCATTTTGGCACTGCCTCTCCTCAGGCCTTATGTTCCTCCCTGCCACCCCTACAGATCCCAACCATTGCCTGTCACTTAACAAGGGTGACTAAGAGGAACACAGATGAGCTGAACAGACCAGTGGAGGTGACTCTTATCATTTGTCTAGCTCCACTTCTCTGGGTTTTATTATTCAGCAGCTAATCTGAAGCCTGATGGTCCCAATGACACATTTCTATCAGCCAAGTCACATGGCTTTTTCTTCATCCTGCCTGACAAGGGTCTCAATTAAAGAGAACTATTAAATTCACATTAGCCATCTTATAAGCAACTCATCACTGCTTTAAAAAACAAAACAAAAACTAATGCATCATTTAACTACAGTGATTAACAATCTTCTATTTAAAAACAAAAAAAAAACTATTGCCTGGGATAAAATTCTCTAGGCCAGTAAATTTCAAAATATATCAAGTTAACTCCAATTGAGACAGACTAACAGACTTACAGTTACAGGACAAAAGTGCTGACATACCTAAGTATCTTATCTTTTCCTGCTTTGCAAAATAGAGTATCAGTATGTAGGGCAGTCTGGCCTTGACCTCAAGATTCTCCTGCCTCAGCCTCCAAAGTGTTGGGCACATATGCATGCATCCCCACAGCCAGCTAGTCTGGAACACTGATTGAGAGAACACTGCGTGGAAGTTGTTAAGGCAAAGCATTGATAGAATAACTGAAAGTACAAATAAAAGGGATGGAAGAGATTTTTTTTTTTTCCTCTGTGGCTTTGGAGGCTGTCTTGGAACTTGCTCTGTAGACCAAGCTGAACTCAAACTCACAGAGATCTGCCTGCCTCTGCCTCCCAAGTGCTGGGACTAAAGGCGTGCGCCACCAATGCCCAACAGAGATGATATTCTTTTTAAGCAGAATACGAGAGAGCAAAGGGACAGAGGAACCAGATGATCATAATTTCATAAGGAAAATGCTTCTAGTACACACAGTCAGTAGCCGTCAGAACCTCGTGTCTTCTTTCAGACCTCACCAGCATCGTTTCCACATTACACATAACACCTTCCTTCTGGAGGTGTGTGTTGTACAAAAATGAATGCAAAAAAATATTTTAAAAGACAAGCAAGACCTCCTGTTTGTGGCTGTTAGACCAAACCACCATTCACTCTTTCAGTAACATGCCCTGCATTGTGAAGCTAGCCCTCACTGTGCTTCTACTACACAGCTACTTCTCAAGCCAGTAACTTCTCCACCAGGAACAGTCAGCAGCAGAGCACTCAAGTTCCCGGCTGTCAGTGTGGAAAATGACTGTTAGATGCATAACCTTATCTAGGATAGAGGAACACATCTGCCCTAAATAGAGGAATAGTAAAACCTGACTATTTTTTCTTAAAAAAAAAAAAAAAAGAAGAAGAAGAAAGAAAAGAAAAAGAGTGTTTCCTTGCAAGCAAACAGAAAACAAAAGGTATTACTGCTGTCACTATGATCATGAAGCCACGGACATGTAACAGCCACAGGAGGGAATGGTGGCTTCTAAAATGCAACATCCTGACAAAGGTGTAAACCACTTCCAACACTGAACACACCAGGCTGAAACAAGAACCACAGCAAACCTCAGCCCCAATGGCATTGGACCACGACCTGCTTAGCTCCAGCAAGATCCCCACATCCCCCCCCCCCCCCGCACTACACAGAAGGACTCCATGTCCCTGCCCTCCTTCCCCCAGGGAGAGGGACGGGTTCAGGCTGCATCCAGGGCAAAGCACGTGCATCACAGGACCAATTTCCAGATCAATGTTTATAAATATGTACAAATCAGTTACAGGCACTTGAAATGTCTTTGGCTGGAATAACCCAACATTGCAAGATCGTGTATTCACAGAGTGGCCAGGCCCTGGCAGATTCAGCAGGCAATGATCATGGTTCTTGGTCTCTCAGAAAATGGAGAGCTGTGGGATTAGGCATCAGCCAAAGCCACCTAGAAGAGAGCAAGCAGGCAATGACGTCAAATAGGGAGCTGCTGGCACCTAGCCCAATACAAGGTCATGCTGACCATTAACATCAATTGTATTTTGGCAAGGAAATTAACAAGACCTCAGGGAGGAAAGAAAAAAAAAAAAAAAAAACAAAAAAACCTCTGTCTGTAAGCCATGACCAACCTGCAAAGCCACTTGTGTTATGCTGGGAGCTAACCTTCTATTATTTATTCATTTGGAGACAGGGTCTCACTATGTAACTCTTGCTGGCTTGGAACATTCTATATATATAGAGCAGGCTGGCTCTAAACTCAAACTCACTGCTTCCTTTGTGGTTTTTTTTTTTTTTTTTTGCTCTACCTCCTTCGAAGTGGGATTTGTTTTTTGAGACAAGGTTTCATGTAGCCTAGGCTGGTCAAAAACTCACTATGGAGCTGAGGATGACTTCAAACTCATGATTCTCCTACTTCAACCTCCCAAGTCCTGGGATTGTCTGATTTACTTGGTTATGAAGACTGAACTGCTTCATGCATGTGAGGCAAGCACTAACCAAGCCACATCCATAGCCACAGTTGGCTGCCCCGACAGGCACTCTGCTGCATGATTCTAGCGCAGGAGGAAGGAGTGGGATAGAGAGGCACCAGGGACAGAGACTCTCCAACAGGGATTTCAGAACAGCCACCACCATGTCAGGACCCTTTTTTTCCTTGAGAAATGCCTGTCTCCAGGAGCCAGACAGACCCACCCACTCTCACCTTCTCAGGACAAAATTCAGGATTGCTCTGACGCAATTTGCTGGGTCTGCCTTTGATAACTGCGTAGCAAAACATCGTTATCACCATCACAAAAAGAAAGTAACTGGTGTGCATGAGATGCAGATTGATTAATGAACGGTCATCCTAATGAACAAAAGAAAAGAAACAGAACACATGCAGTCCATTACTAACAACTTTTCAAACATCAGCCTCTGTGCCTGCAGCAATTTCATTCCATTGTGGTGCTCAGCACTGACCCCACGGCCTCATGCACACTAGATAAATGTTCTACCACTGAGCTACATCTCCAGCCCCCCCCCCCAAATATTAATCCTTAAGCTTGAACAGGCAGTCTCTCCACTTGTCTCCAAAACTTCCAAACTAGTTTTCACTAAAGTTAGAGTTGGTTCTGTGCAACCTTGGTTAAGGAGGAACACTGCTTCTTCTATTGTGGCTTCTGCATGCCCACACTGCCAGAGCCCCACCAGCCTATCTTCTACTGGGAGGCCCGCTCCTCTCTGGACATGTCCTTGTGATCCCACCAAATAGCTTGTCTGCTGTCCTCACCCTGTGCTACTCCTCCAATGGATGGATGGCACATCCTATCAGACAGCATCCCTTCTCTGGCTTCACTAAGTCCCTGGCTGGAAGGGAAACAGGCTGGCCTCATTTCTGAGACTGATATGCAACCACAATAGGAAGGGTGTGTGAGAGACCCTGGCTATGTCTTGTGCTCACAGCCTCATAGCAGAGAGCAGATAAGCCTCACTCTCGAGTACAGCTTGACCTAGAACTCACTATGTAGCACACACTGGCCTGGAACTCATCTTGCTTCAGCCTCCCAAGTGCCCAGATCTCAGGAATATATACCAGACAAAATGAGTTTGTTTTTTTCTCTTAAGATTGTATGTTTACTTATGTGTGTGTGTGTGTGTGTGTGCCATGTGTGTACAGGTGGCTGTGGAAAGTACATGGGGGTCCTCCGGAGCTGGAGTTACAGGTGTTATGAACTACCTGATGTGGGTGTGCTCTGGTCCCCTACAAGAGCAAGTGTTCCCAGCTGCTGAGCCATCTCCCTAGCCCCAGTCTTACGGGACTGCTTTACAGCAGCCTGACACAGGAAGCGGGGTTCCTGCTGGAGGAGACAGGTAAATGCTATGGCAGGGCACAGAAGGCTCTAGAATCTGTTCTGCCCATCATGCAGCCTTCCACTCCACCCCACGCCTGAGCTTCCTGGCAACTAACTTCCATAACTGGACAGAAATCTTTAAAAAAAGTGAGAGACCAGGGAAAAATAAGAAATCCATACAGCTCACTCAGGAAGGAAAGCAAAGATACAAAATCATCCGTAATGTACCTGCTGGCTGCAGCATTAACTGCTTCCTCTTTCCCCTGAAGTTAAATGCTATGAAGGCCCCACTATCAGGCCAAATAAACATCCTAGACCAGGCATAGTGGTACAGGCCTATGATCCTAGCACTCAAGATGCTGAAGCAAGATCACAATTTCCAGGGCTGCCTGAACCACACAATAAAAGACTGTCTAAAAAGACAGGAAACAAAGCAAAGATTTTCCTCTTCCTATGAACTGCTACCTCCTTTTGTACCCTATACATACTGGCTATTGATAACACTGACACTAAGCAGATACTCTGCATGTAAGACCACAAAGGAATAGTGACCCCAATGGGTTACAAACACAACAGACCTCAACATAACACCTGCTGAGACACACAAAATTAAAGAACAAAGAAAAAATTAAAGAACAATTAAAGAAAATCATGGTACCTTTGTCACAAAGGTACCATGATTTTCACAGCCCTACTAGCCTCCCAAACCAGGTAGAAATCTTGACTGGCCAGGGCTGAGCTAACCCAAGATGTAAAAATTCATACACTCAGAATTCCAGGATGCATGTACACATTCTTTCACTTCTCTCTCTCTTCCTCTTTCTCTCCCTCTCTCTCTCCTCCCCTCCTCTCTTTCTGTCTCTCCCTCACACACACACAGAGAAACTGAACTTATTTCACTTACATCTGGAACAATAACGGTGAGTTTGGGATTTAAAGCATGGTAGACTTTTCCAATGGCTCCCTTATAACACCAGAAAGGATTGTAGTCTTGAGCATATTTTGTGTTGGCATCTCTGGCAGTTGTGAAGATCTTGTACCAGAGTGTCGCGTTGCTGTATGTGTCCGGGACACAGTGAGGTGGCTGACTGCAGGGGAGAGGAAGAAACCAGCTCGGTGACCTGAAACATTTATTTGGGCTCCCTCCACACACAACACCCAGCAACACTGAACAGAGCAACATGACAAAAGGAAGAATAAGATGTTCTGAACAATCACCATGTTTCTCTGAGGGTCTGTTATTATTCATATTTGAGATAGGATCTCCATATAAGCAGAGGCTGGCCTATGAATGCTAGAATTGCAGGTATGAGTAAAACATCCAAATGTTTTGTATTTTTTTTTTTTTTTTTTGAATAAACACATAAGAAGCCAGGCATGGGGTTGCACACCTATAATCCCAGAACTCCAGAGACTGAGACAAGAGGAGTTCTAAGCCAACCTCTGCTGTAATGTTTGAGACCAACCTGGGCTACATGGAACCATCTCAAAACAATTCCCACCCCAAAACTAAAATAAGTGTAATCATGTCCAAATCCCCCACATATACACACAATTTAAAGTAATAAAAGTGAAACTTTAAAAAAACTAAAACAAAAATTAATTTCTGGGTCACAGAGACCAACAGAACCTTTATCTTTAGGCAGCTTTAATTACAGGTCACTCTGGAAGGGAGCCTGGTTCTTCCTTTTCCAAGATGACTCTTAGCAGGAAAGGCAGCTGGAGTGTGGCCACACCATCACATTTTACTACCTCATTGAAGCATTAGCTCTGGACTGAGCTTCTTTCTAGTTTGGTTTGGTTTTGTTGAGACAGGATCTCATGTACCCAGGGCTAGCCCTGACCTCACTATAAACAGGAAGACACATTGACCTGATCTTCCCACCCAACCCTTCCATTGCTGGGAGTACAGGTGTGCTCCACCATGAACCCAGGACTTCATGAATGCTAAGCAAACCTACCAACAGCTACAACCCCAGCCCAGAACATCTGTATATGTAGAAATTAGAATTTCAAATGAAACTTATAGTCCTAGAAGCCTGCAAGATGATTCAGAAGGTAAAGCTGCTTGCCACCAAGCCTAACAACCTGAGGTCAAGCCCTGGAACCCACATAGTAAAACTGACTCTTGAAAGTTGTCCTCTTGATCTCCATAAATGTGTAGGACACTTACACAGTGACGGGGAAGACTCCAGGGGCAGCTGTGAGGGTCATGCAGGCTGTAAACACCACCTGCTCACAGTGGCCATGGAGGGCACAGTCATCGGCATTCCAGGCAGCAGGTAGGGTGAATGTGATGTTGATCTCTTCGTGTGCTTCCCTGCCTGTGGAAGAATTAGGAGCTTATTGGTAGACAAGGGCAGAAATTCAGACTGGTCTCTGGTGCTCCAGTGAGTCCAAAGCCAAACTCAACAGCCGCCCACTGACCTGCACACCTGCACCATGGGATTTCTGGAAGCCACAATCCTGACCTGAACAATGAGGTCTTCTTGACTTAGTACAGCCACAAAGTAGCTCACAAAGGCTACTATGTATTTCAGTCAGGGCTAGGGAGCCAAGCCAGAATTCAGGCAGGAAAAGAGCTGAACAACTTGAGTGTAGTGATTTTCTGTACTAATGTATTACTGTATTCAAAAATCTACCATGCCATGAATATGACCCAAGCATCTCTGTACACACGCGTGCACGCACAGCGGGTCTAACAAACTTAGGGAAGGTCTTGGGACTAGAAAGTAAAGCCTGCACTAAATAAATAAGATATTCTAAGGTCGTAAGGAGAAAAGGGTGTGTTTGCTTTCTGGAACAAACAGCAGTGATTTGTACCCTTTCTATCATGGCACTGACTTTCCACTCTTAATAGCCAAAGGCAACAGGAAGGACACAGCGGCACCTGTGGATATTATACAAAGGTTTTTGGAACCAAAGAACCAAAGGTTATCCTTCCAAGGCCCAGCCAGCCCTTAGAATGATCAAAGCCTTTCCAGAGTCTTACAGCTTCCACTCTCATGTGCTCCTAAACCATGTCAGGCTTAACACATACAAGCAGGTATGGCCATACATCATGGGATTTATTTTTTGTATTATTTAACACAGTGGTTTGAATAAGAGTGGTCCCCATAGGCTTAAATATTGAATACTAGTCCCTATGTGGTATAACTATGTGGGAAGGATTAGGAGGCATGGTCTTGTGGGAGGGTGTGAGTCATAGGAGTAGACTTTAAGGCTTAAAAGCCTCCTCCAGTCCCAATATGTTCAGTGCCTCCTGCTTGTGGATCCAGATGTGAGCTCTCAGCTGCGGCTCCAGCCACCTGCCCCCATGCCTTTGCTCTACCATCAGCTATCATAAACCCAAACCCTAGAACCTGAAGCCCAATTAAGCTTTCTTTTGTAAGTTGCTCTGTTCGTGGTATTTTAATCACAGGAATAGAAAAGTAAATAATACATTTAACAAGCAACTGGATAGCATTTCCTCTGTGCCAGCAACTATTTTAAGTACCTGGTAAGCGTTAATTCATAGTAAACTGTCTTAGTTATAGCCTTCTATTGCTGTGATAAAAGACTATGACCAAAAGCAACTTGGGTAGGAAAGGGTTTGTTTGCTTTTATCTCTCAGCTCACACTCCATTGCATAGCGAAGTCAGGGCAGGACCCCAAACAGGGCAAGAACCTGGAGACAGGAGCTGATGTAGCGGACATAGAGAGGAACTGCTTACTGGCCTGCTCCTCATGGCTTATTCAACCTTTCTTACAGAACCAAGTCTAACAGTCCAGGAATGCCCTCACACATAAATCACTAAAAACAAATGAACGAACAAACAAACCCACAGGTCAATCTAGTGGAAGCATTTTCTCAATTGAGGTTTCCGCTTTACAGATGACTCTAGCTTGTATTAAGCTGACATAAAACTAGGCAGTATATGGACTCTGGTTGCTGTTTGGTTTATCTTTCTCAGCACTGGCAACTGAACTCAGGACTCACGAGTTAAACAAGCCCTCAACCACTGAGTTACATCCCCACCCAATTCCTGTTATTTTTGCCTCTTATATAATCCCCAAATTCCAAGGGTGAAGAAACCAGGTCTGAGGCTTTTTCTAGTTCTTCCTGAAAGTTAGCACATTGCTAAATAAATGGTGGGCATTTAAAACTGTGCAGATCTGGGGCAGGAAATGGCTGGGAGATGAAGAAGACCTTAGAATCAATTCACAGCACTTACATGGCAGTGCACAACTGTCTGTAACACCAGTCCCAAAGGGATCCTGTACCCTCTGGCCTTCATGGCACTGAACATCCACACACACAATAATTATTTTTCTCCCTGAGAAAGGGTTTCTCTGTGTAACCACTCTGGCTGTCCTGGAACTCACTCTGTACTCAGGCTGGCCCCAAACTCACAGAGATCCATCCACCTACCTCTGCCTCCTGAGTGCTGGGATTAAAGCTGTGTGTCACCACCATTGGGTTTAATTAATTAATTCTAAATCTTTAAATTAAAAAAAAAAAAAAGGCCTGAAAGAGTACTTTTTCACATCTATGAAGCCTTGGTTCAAATTTAAGCATCAGAAGCAAGAGTAAAAATAACGCATGACAGCTCAGTGGGTTAAGAGCAAATTAGCCTGATGGTAACCTAAGATCAATCCTAGAAACCTATGTATAGAAAACCAACTACTAGGGAATGACCTCAGACCTTTACATGTTCACTGTAGCTCATGTGCACCCATACACATACACACTAAATAAATAAAAATGGCAATGTATTACAAACCCCACACTTATGTCCTGAGCAACACTCAAGTGATGACTCCCACACAGTCCAAAAACTGAGTAGAATTCCTGACTCCCCAGACTTAACTACCAATTTTGCCTGATGCTGACTGGAAGTCTTACTGACAACATCAACAGTACATAAATACTCACTTATCAAAAACAAGGAGAAATACACAATCACTGATTAGTGCTGTATGCCACTGACTCTGATTGGACAGATGAACTGCACACACAATGACTTAGCATAATATGATGTTTTAAGTGGACGCTCATGTGACCCCAACATCAATCAGAAGCTGGCTACAAAGGTATCACACAAAGGGAGTGTAAACTATAGTTAACTTAAGCTTCTGAGATGTTTTTATGTGTCACAAAGACTGGCCACAAACTCAATACTGATACCCTTCAACTTACGATACTCCTGCTTCTACCTCAAGTGCTACCATGCCTTTTTCTTCCTTTCTTTCTTTTTAAATCCTCTAGGTTTTTTGTTTTTTCTTGGTTTTTTTGTTTTGTTTTGTTTTGTTTTGTTCAAGACAAGGTCCCAGTATATAGCCCTAGTTATTCTGGAACTTGCTGGCCTCAAACTTACATAGACCAATCTGCCTCTGTCTTATGAGTGCTAAGATTACAGGCATGTGCCACCAGCTTTTCTGTTTTTTGAGGCAGGGCCTGAAACTCACCATCCTACTGCTTTCTCTCCCACACACTGGGATTACCACTGTACCAACATGCCTGGTCCAATGCCTTTATGACCTAAAACAGCATCTTCACATTTGCTTATACTTCTCTTGATTCAAACAGAGAGTTGGAGAGATGGTTCAGCAGATAAGAGCACTGGGTACTCTTGCAGAGGACCCGGATTTGGCTCTTAGCACTCACATGGCAGCTCACAATCATCTCTAACACCCTCTTCTAGCATCTGCAGGCACCAGGAACACACAGTGCACATACATACATGCAAAACACTCATACATACAAAATAAAAGTTTTTAATAATTTTTAAAAAGTAAAATTATCAATGGACCTGTGCAAGTAAAACCTAAGTTGGTCAAAGGTCAATTACACTGAGGCCAAAATCAGACTTTGCACTTTGAGCTTCTCTCTCCTCCTCCCTCTCTCCCTCTTCTGGTGCTATAGAGAAATCCAGGGCCTCATACACACAAGCCCAGTGCTCTAAGAATGAGCTGTACCTCTGGCCCTATCAGTTCTGACTCTGACAAGCTTCTTTTCTTTCTCCTTATTTTATGTGCACTGGTGTGAAGATATCAGATCACCTAGAAGTGGAATTATAGGCAGTTGTGAGCTGCCATGTGGGTGCTGAGAATTGAACCTGGGTCCTCTGAAGAGCAGCCAGTGCTCTTCACCACTAAGCCAACTCTCCAGCCTCTCTGATTGTGTATGTCCAAGCAGCAGTGGTGCACACCTTTAACCTTAGCACTCGGAGGCAGAGGCAGGCAGATCTCTGATTTGAGGACAGCCTGGCATACAGAGTGAGTTCCAGAACTGCCAGGGATACACAGAGAAACCCTGTCTCAAAAAACCAAAAAAGAGAAAGAGAGACTGTGTATGATATGTGACAACCCAACCGACTGAGGGTGCACAGCAACCATTCCTTCTTGAAGTCCAAGTCTCAAGGAGAAACATTCACAAACATAAAACAGAACCCTGGATTTATCTCAGTTGCTGCCTAAAAGCTCTGAAAGGGAAGTAGCTGACACACACCTGAGAGTCCAATCTGATGTCCCAGGATGGTGGAGTACAGGTGTGTGACGTTTCGGGAGTACCCTCCAAAGGGCTTGAGAGGGTCCAGGGTCAAGGTAATGGCCACTGAGATATTGATGGGGCCTGACTCCTCCAGGGCCTGGGGCGGCTGGGTGGACGATCTGGCCTGCCCAATGGTCATGGTGCTCTCAGGGGTGGTGGTGTCATTGGAGAGATGCTTCAGTGTCTCGTTTTCTGATACACACAAGTCCAAATCATTAAAGCGCAGCAGAAAAGTATTCCAGTCCTTCAGCAAAGTAAAACGGAGAGACAGACATGAGGCCCCAGCATCTCCAATGTAGGAACAGCAATGACCCTTAACTGCTACCACAGGACAAGAGGAAAAGAGTGACCTGAGAGTGACCACCTCAAGTCATAATACACCACCATCCTACACCTGCAGAACAGTGTGATGTAACCATATCATGTCCTGGAAATCTGGAATGCACACTCTGTACATTATCTGAGAATCCAGCAGACTGCATTTAACAGAAAAACCAACTAGCCTCAAGATCAAACTGAAAAGAGGATCTTGAGGGACTGGAGAGATGACTCAATGGATAAGATGGCACTGCCTGCCAGAGATTCCCAACACCCATAGGGCTGTTAGCACTTACTCTAACTCTAGTTCCAAGGGACCTGATGCCCTCTTTGGGCACTGCACACACACAGTATAGACATAAATGCAGTGAAAACATCCATACACATAAAAGAAAATAAAGGAAAAACAAAAAAGGTCGTGAGGGCTATTGAAGATAACTCAATGGTTAAGAACACTTGCTGCTCTTACAGAGGAACCAAGTTTGGTTCCAAGCACCCACATAGTGGCTCACAACAATATGCAGTCCCTGTGCCAGACTACCTAATATCCTTTTTATCCTCCTTGGGAACATGGTACACATATTTACATGCAGGCCAACACTCATACACATAAACTAAAATTAAATATTAAAAAAAAAAAAAAGTAGATCCATGAGTTCCAGGACAGCCTGGTCTACATAGAGAGTTCCAGGACAGCCAAGGATACACAGACAAACAAAACCAAAAACTAAAGTAATTGACACATTAAAATCACTAATTCACACTCATTTAATAGCTTATTTGTTTTCAGAACTTTTGTTTAAGATTTATAAATGTCTCCAAAGCTACACAACCCTGTCTCGAGGGGGGGAAAAAGACTTATGAATTTAAGGCTACATGGTGGTGGCTCACACCTTTAATCCCAGCACATGCATGTGATACATGAACATACATGTGGACAAAACACCCATTTATAAATGTATAAATCTTTTTTTTTTTTTTTTTTTTTTTTTTTTTTGGTGTTTTGAGACAGGTTTTCTCTATGTAGCCCTGTCCTGGAACTTGCTCTTACTCTGTAGACCAGGCTGGCGTCAAACTCACAGAGATCCACCTGCCTCTGCCTCCCAAGTGCTAGGATTAAAGGCGTGTGCTCCCACCACCCAGGTTATGGATTCAGCACAACATTTTTCATCCACATTTCTTTATACACTGTTTTCATTCACTCCCCTCCTCCATGTCCTCTGACCACTTCTATTCAGTGCCCTTGTTTCCTAATCAATAGGATCCTTTATCTAATAAAAGCGCCATCTGTACAAATGAGAAAACCAAAAGGTGGTATGCGATGGTAAATGTCCCAGTCACTATTTTAAAACAATGTAACATGACTACCAGAAGAGGTGAATTCCCTAGCTCATCCACTCTCTCTTCCTCTTTTGAAACAAGGTTTTACTACATGGCCCAGGATAGCCCTTAACTCACACTCCTTCTACCACAGTCTCCCCAGTATTGGATCACAGGAGTACACCACCATACCCAGCCCTCTTTTAACTCAGCTCTTTGTTTTATAAGTACACTCTCCCAGTCGGCGTTGGTGGCACACACCTTTAATCCCAGTACTCGGGGATTAAAGAGGCAGGTGGATCTCTGTGAGTTCCAGGCCAGTCTGGTCTACAGAGGGAGTTCCAGGACAGGCTCCAAAGCAATACAGAGAAACCCTGTCCCAAAGAACAAAAAAGTACACTCTCCCAAATGCATCTATTTCTCTACTGAAATAATCTATATTAACCTGATAATATTATTTAAAACAACTATATAGGTATCCCCTAACAAAGCAGTCACACAAAAAAGGTAGGAAACCCTGTATAAATATGTATCTTTTGTTGGATGTATCTATCTATGCACTTGAGAGGCAGAGGCAAGAAAATCTGGAGTTCTGGCCCCTGCCAGGAGAAAAAAAAAAACCAAAAATCAAAACAGAAACCCCTCCAGGTGTACTAATACACAACACATAGTATTATCCCAGCATTCATGAAACTGAAAGAGGAAGATCACTTCAAAATTCCTTTGCTAGTGTGAGATCTCAAAAATAAAAAAGAGCTGTCCCCCACTGACTACGAGGTCCATCCAGGGTAAGTGGAAATTAGGAGTATACTGTACCTCAGCCATCTCTGGGGACTTAATCTCCTTGATCTTGAAGAAATAGCCCAGGGTGAGGAAGGCGATGGCCATGGCGCTAACACTGATCATGAAAACCACCAAGGGTGGCCGGCTGCTGATGTAGAGCTTCAGGTTCTCCAGGGGGTTAATGCTGAACATACTTCTGATCAGCTGCAACCTGGAACAGAGTCAGCATATGATCAGTGGCCTGTCTGCACAAGAAAGCTATTGCACTCACATTAGTTTCTTACATTAGTACTGTGAGACAAACAGCTGAGTCTGAGAAATGTCCATTCAATGAATTCATTTAGAAGACTAGAAGGAGCCAGGCATGGTGGTGCACACCTGTGATGCCAGAAAGCAGATCAGGAGTCAAAATTCATCCTCAGCTACTAGCAAAGCCAGCCTGAAATATATGAGACACTGTGCTTTAAAAAAAAAAAAAAAAAAAAAAAAAAAAAAAATTGTGGAGGGAAAGTGTAGAGAAAAGGTAGAGCTGTTAGCTCAGCTGGTAGAGCACTTGCCTGGGTCCCAAGACCAGCACTGCATACAACAGGCTTGGTGAAGATAGAGGCAAAAAGGATCATGAGTTCGAGTTTATCCCTGGCCACACAGAACCAGACTGGGCTACAAGGCACTCTTACCCACATAGGACATCAGTATTAGTTCATGCAAATTTAAGTCTCTTATGTACTGATCTGCCTTGTAAAGGTAAGCAAGTGCTCTAGTCTCCAATGCTCTTGGTTCCAGATGCTTTGCTCAAATATCTTAAATTCTAACCAAGCTGTCTGTGACCTCTCTTGGATGTCATATAGATAATTACACTGTTGAAGAACAAGAGCGGTAGTAATATTTCTTCTTTTCAATCCTTTTATCCTTTTCCTTTTTCTTTTTTGTGACTATTTAATTGAAATATCAATAGCAGTAGCTGTAATAAAATTCTTGCCTCACTTGGACTTTAGCAAAAATGCTTTGTAATGCTTCACTACTAAATCTGGGACACATCAGCTTCTAATTTTATGTCAACGTGACACAAGCTAGAGTCCTTTCAAAGAGGAAGCTTTGACTGAGAAAATGTACCCGGTTAGAATGGCCAATGAGCAAACCTGTGGTGCATTTTCTTGATTGATGACTGATGTGGGAAGGCCCAGCTCACTATGGGTGGTGCTAGCCCTGTGCTGGTGGTCCTGGGTTCTACAAGAAAGCAGGCTGAGCAAGCTATGAAGAGCCAGAAAGCAGCACCCTCCATGGCCTCTGCATCAGCTCCTGCTTCCAGGTTCTTGCTGTGTTTGAGTTCTTGCCCTGACTTCTCTAAGCAATGGAGTGTGACCTGAAAGAAATAAACTCTTTCATCCCCAAGTTGCTTTTTGCCGTGGTGTTTTATCACAGCAACAGACGCCCTAACTATAACAGAAGATTTCTCTAGAGTAAGGAAGTACCTACACCTAGGTTTACAAAAAAAAAAAAATTTCACTATGTTATTTGCTTTTTTATAGGGGAAAAGGCTGAGACAGGGTCACTTGTCTTTCAAACTGGCCTTGAACCCTGAGCTTCCTGCCTCTACCTCCCAAGTGTGGGAGTAGAGACCTATGCTACCATGTCTGGCTTTTATCCCCTCTTCTTGGGTATTTAACCCAAAGTCTCTGACTTGCTATGTAGCTATTGAATTCAGCCAAATACTACATTTCTATGAATGCCTCATCTGCAATGTCTAAACCATCATTTTTTACCTTTTAACTGTTGACATAAATAATTTCATTAACCTTTACCATGCTGATTCCAATGTTTGAATAACTGTGGTATGACTGAAGATTAAAGAGCTTTGTTTTGGTGGCGAACAGTCTTACTAATGCTGAACACGTGCTAGATCAAAGAACTATATCCCAGCCCCAGATCACGATTTTTAGAAACTACTCTGATCTCAATTTTTCTATATATTCATAAATGAGATAAGAAAAATCTGCCATTTTGCACAATTATCTTTTTATTATTACTATTATTATTATTATTATTATTATTATTATTGAAACAAGGTCTTCCTGTGTAGGCTGGATGGCCTGAAACTTGCTATCCATATCAGACTGGCTCCAGACTCACAAAAATTCACCTGCCTCTGCTTCCCAAGTACTTGGCCAAAGGCCTGTGCTACCAGGAATAAGATGCACTTCTACTACTTAGAAATTTGACTTTAGCCATTTGAGTAAATAAAGTATTTGTTTTCTATTTTAATGAGGTTATAGGTTTTTTACTTCTGATGAGTCAATTTTGATTTTTTCACAGAAGATTATTCAAAGCTGGGTGGTGGCGGCACACACCTTTAATCCCAGCATTCAGGAGGCAGAGGCAGAGGCAGAGGCAGACAGATCTATGTGAGTTTGGAGGCCAGCCTGGTCTACAAGAACTAGTTCCAGAACAGGCTCTAAAGCTACATAAAGAAACCCTGTTTCAAAAAAGTAAGGCTATTTAAAACTATCCATTTTATGTTTACTTTTAAACTTTGTAGCATAGAGTTATTTTGATGTCCTCAATTGTTTATCTACTTGTATTTTAAAGATATATATCTTTAATATACATACACACACACACACACACATATATGTATACACATACATATATCTTTGTATGCACGTGTTGGGTAACTGTGGAGACCAAAAAAGGGGTCCATCGGATCCCCTAGAACTAGAGTTATAGGTGGCTGTCAGCTGCCTCACAGGCTTACTCAAGTCCTGTGCAATAAATAGCAAACACTCTGAATCACCGAGGCATCTCTCCAGCTCTATATTTGTAGTTTGTTATTGTTTTGTAACCCAGGTGGGACTAGAACTGGCTATGTAGCCAAGGAGAACATTATGCTTCGGACCCTCCTGCTTCTACCTCCCACATGCTGTATTACAGGTATGCATCACCACACCTGATCTTTATAGTGCTGAGGATTGACCCAGGGCAGTTCAAGGGATACACTCTGTAATCTTATCTGTCTCCAACTAGAAATATCTAGAACATCACATGGATGATTAGAAATGAGGAATGATGGGAATGGTTGAGCAACCAGCACTAAGTTACAGTTAAACAGATTAGTTCTGATGTTCTGTTTTCCATAGAGCCATCCTCAAACTTCATATAGTCCAGGCCTTGAACTGACTGCCCTGCCTCCGTCTTCCAAATGCTGAGATTATATGGTGTTAGGAATACAAGAGTACAATTCCACGTCTGCCATTAAAACATTTTTGAACAAATATTAAGACTCCAAATATTTCACGAAATTCAAAACTCCTTTCTACCATTCACAAACATTTTCAAACAAGAAATTCATCTGCAAAGAGGTGCAAGGTTTCTGAGCCAGCATGATGGCACACACTTTAATCCCAGCACTCAGGAGACAGAGGCAGGCCAAACTGCAGACAGCTTGAGCAAAAGGCAGCTAACTTGAAAGGACATGGGACAGCTGTGTGACAACAGAATTAACTGTAGCACACCTCTGCTTCTGAAACTCTAAAATCTTAACCATGGCTTTTAAAAAAAAAAAAAAAAGTCTAACTATTGAGCTGCTTGCCTGCAGAGTGTTTAAAATTGTAAAATATAAAATTTTAAAAGGTTTGTTGAGACCACTTGGGGGAGGGGGGTAAAGGTGCTTGCCATGCATGGCTAATGGCTGAGTTCGATCCCTGGAACCCACTTGAGGATGGAGGAGAGAAGTACTCCACAAAATCATCCTTTCACCCCCATATGCACACCAGGTCATACACATACACACTAAACCAAAGACTAAGAGAGATGAAAATTAAAGCTGTCAATAACATCATGTAAGAAATTCTCTTTCCCAAGAGTAATAGTGGCAGAACCAGATTACAACAGGCTAAGGAAAAAAATAACTACTTAATATATGCCAACGCATTGGGCATGTAACAACTGCTCAGCATATATTGAATGGGTATTTTAATCTTGCCAATTGTTAGGTGAATATCAGTATCCCTATCTTGTTTCTGTGTTTTGGTTTATTTTGGGGGGTGGGGAGTTCAAGACAAGGTTCCTTTGTGTAGCTTTGGAGTCTGTCCTGGGAACTCACTCTGTAGACCAGGCTGGCCTCAAACTCACAGAGATCCGCCCACCTCTGCCTCCTGAGTGCTGGGATTAAAGGCATAAGACACCAAGCACCTAAGATTACAGGCAGCGTGCCACAGGCCTGGTGGGTAATTTGGAATTACGGATCATGTTTGCGGGAATGTGCGTATAAAGAGGAAGGAGCACTAAACCCGAGGGAAGAAGGGTAAAAAAAAAAAAAAGCATGAAGTAGTAAGAGGATGCACTAAACATGTTTAGACAAAAGCAAAGGGGGAAACCAGTATCGCCTGGGAAAATACAAGTTCCAGAGCTGTGACATGGCTTCAGTTTAATTCCCCGACAGTTACCACGACCATTGGACCCACACCTGGATCCAGAGACCTTGAGCTGCATGCCTTACATTATGCAGAAATCATGCCTTAGTTTGCTGTACTAAACTATGCAGACAGATAAGAACTGACCTCATTTACTAGCCTTGCCACTCTGGCTGCCTCTATTCTGTTTTTGAACAGGGCCTGGTGGCACACACCCATAACCCCAACCAACACTTATGAGGCTGAGGCAGTAAGATCACAACTTCAAGCTATACTGAAAACTTGAGGCTAGCCTGAGATACACAATGTGATTGTTTTTTGTTTGTTTGTTTTGTTCTGTTTTAGCCAGGCTTAGCTAGGGTGTCTGAGACAAAAAAAAAAAAAAAAAAAAAAAAAAAAAAAATCAGGAGTCCAAGTTCAGCATCGGCTGCATGAGTTTGAGCTATCCAGGGTTTCATGAGACCCCCACATCTCCAGTATTCCGAAGACTAAAACCAAAACAACACTGCATCTCAGAACTAGTGAATCTGAGACAGGAAAATCAGTAGTTGAAGGTAAGTCTTGGCTACATAGGGAATTCCAAGCCATTCTGGGCAGTACGAAACCCTGTCTCAAATATACCTAAGATGACAGCACACAGACTTTGAGTACTCCGCTTTGGGCTTGTGTAGATGGGTGGCTCCCTCCCAGCTTCTCTTCACCCGAAGAATATCACCTACACCCAAAGTAAACACACATACACACACTCACTCACACAAACGGGAGGTTGGAGAGATGGCTCCGAGGGTTAAGAACACCTGCTATTCCACAGGACCAGAGTGAGGTTCTGGACACCCACATCATCAAGCGGCTAACAATGGCCTGTAACTCTAGTTCTAGGAATACAACGCCCTCTTCTGAATTCTGTAGGCACTTGCACTCACGTGCACAAACAGACACAAACACGTTTTCAAATTTTCCAAAACTGAATCTATTTTTTTTTCTTTTTTTTTCCCCAAAAACTGCAAAGGACGCCAGTTAGTTCCACCCGGCGGTACCCAGGCGGTAGTAAGCCTGGGCTCCGGGAGCAGGACTGCAGGCCTCAGGCCTCGGGAGGATGGAGCAGGCCGGGGGGGGGGGGGGGGGCAGCTAAATACGGAGGTGAGCGGAGCTCGGGTGGGTGGAGGAGCCCGAGCACAGACTCGCACAGACGCCCCGGGTCCCGGCCCACGCGCCCGCTGTGCCGGCCCGACCCTGTCGCCTACTCACCGCCCCACAGACCGGCGGCTCCGCGGACGCCCGCGGCCTGGCCCTGTTCACTCGCGGCGGCGCGCGGCGGGTCCCGGGCGGCCCCGCACCATCCTCCCCGCCGCTCCGGAGACAGCGAGCGGCTCCACGGGGCCAACGTGACGACGCGAAGACAGGCCAGAGCGCGCCGACGGGACGCCGGCTCCGCGCGCTGCGAACGCCGGGCTTTCCGGGTGAGAGCAGAAAACCACGTCACCACAAACGCCGCCGTGACCTCTGACCCCGCGCGCGACGGCAGCGCGGCAAGGACAGAATTGCGAGCGAGCGCGCGCGCGCCGCGCGGGCAAGTGCGAAGGGGGGGGGCGTGTCTTCGTTGCGTTGATTGGCAAGAAAAGGCTTGGGACCGGGAAAGTACCTGAAGTGTTTTGCTCACTTTCGCGGATTGCGGTGAGCTTGTTCGGTTCCGCCTGTCTGGGAGATCATCTGCGTGTCATGGTGTGTATGATGTAAGAGAATAAGGAGGGCACGATTTTCGTTTATTTTTGTTGGAGTTTTGATTTGAAACATCGTCTCGTGAATTACAGCCTAGCTTCGCAATCTCTGTGGAACCCAATGTAGGTTCCAACTATGTTAACTGGCCTGACTTCACGCAACTGCTGGGAAAAAAAAATAATATCAAAACTGGATGTTGTAGCGCACAACTTTCATCCCAGAGCTCTGAGGCTCAGGCAGGCAGGTCTATCTACCTATCTATCTGAATATAGATAGATAGGTAGATAGACAGACAGACAGATAGACTGACTGACTGACTGATGGATATATAAATAGATGTAAATTCATATATATCTCAGTGTCACACAAAGAAACACAGAAACAAAATGAAAGTATCCCCACAAGGCAAATCATTTCTGGGAAAGGGGTGTACCATGACCCAAACCAAGCTAGCAAGCACACTAAAGCATATGGGCTAAACTCTCAGCTTGCTGCTCAAGTCGCCATAACTGCAGTTGTTGCCATGCTCCCCGGCTGTCATGGACTCTAACCCTCAGGAACCATAAACCAAAATAAAATCTTTCTTCCGTGAATCGCTTTGGTCATGGTGTCTTATCACAGCTACAGGAAGGTAACTAATACAACCCTCCTTTGTGTACACTCGACTGGTTTAGAATCTACCGAATGTGGTCTCCATTGCCTCCCTGGAGAACGGGACATTGCGTTATTTCAAGCCATGTCTCAGTCCTCTGGGACCTGGTTGACCTTAGAAGAAGCAAAATATTATCTTTTTAATCTGTCTGACCACACTAATACAGACCTCCAAATATGATTATTGAAAACTTGCCCGCTTGTCTGGTCTTGTCTCACTCTCTCTTTTTTTTAGAGAAAGTCACCGGGCAGTGGTGGCACATGTCTTTGATCCCAGCACTATGAGGGCAGAGGCAGGCAGATCTCTGGTCTACAGAGAGAGTTCCAGAGCAGAGCACTCTCTGTAAAGTGCCTACACTGAGGCTACACAGAGAAACCCTGTCTGGGGGATGGGGTGGGAGACAGGTCTTGCAGTATAGCCCTGGCTGGCCTAAAACTGGATATGTAAACCATGCTGGTCTCAAACTCAAAGGTCCACCTGCCTCTGCCTCCCAGGTTCTGGGATTAAAGGTGTACATAACCACACCCATAGTCTTGTACTTTTGACTACTGTGTAATATTTAGAAACTGCTTGGGCAAAAACCAAACTCTTTAAACTTTGTATTACACATTCTTGTCCTTTAAGTCAGTCTTTGCAATTATTAGAAAGAGCAAACCAATAACTCCATTGATAGCAGAGGTTTGATATCGATGTATTAAACTTTAAATCCTGAAAGTTTTAATATCAAGTGTGCAAAAGATGGCTCAGCAGTTAAGAGCTCTGGCTGCTCTTCCAGGAGACTCAGGTTGGATTCTCAGTACTCATAAGGCAATGACAACTCCAGTTCCGGGGAGATATACTGCCCTCTTCTGGCCGAATCGGTTCTGCATGTATATGGTGACACACCCCTTTAATCCTAGCAAGGGAGACAGATATACAGAGGAGAAGCGTGCACCGAGACTGGCCAAGAAGCAAGCTAAGGAGCACAAGAGGTGGAAGAAGATGACTGGAGAGATGACTCCATGGGGTACACCAACGCCGACAACCCCTTTGGAGACAACGATCTCCTGGGCGCCTTCATCTGGACCAAGCCACTGGAGAAGAAGGGCATCAGCCACCTGGAAGAAAAAGCTGGAGGAACACAAGAGAATCCAAGCGAACAACCGGCTGGAGCTCCAGAAGGTGAAGCAGCTGCGGTTGGAGCGGGAGCAGGAACTGGCGCTGCTCCTACGGGAGAAGGAATCGGAGCACTTCAAGACCTGGGAGGAGCAGGAGGACAGCTTCCACCTGCTGCAGGCCACGCTGCAGTCCAAGATCCGCATCCGAGATGGGCGGGCTAAGCCCATCGAGCTGCTGGCCAGCTACATCAGTGCAGAGGACGATGACCTGGACGTGGAGATGCACGAGCCCTACACCTTCCTCAATGGCCTCACAGTGGCGGACATGGAAGGCCTGCTGGAGGACATCTGGGTGTACATGGAGCTGGAGCAGGGCAAGAACACGGACTTCTGGCGGGACATGACAACCATCACGGAGGCCGAGATCGCCAAGCTCCTCAAGCTGGAGGCCCCAAGCCAAGGTCCCGGTGAACGCCACCGCTGCCTCGGTTAGCTCCGATGTGCAGTCGGTATTCAAGGGGGGAGACCTACAACCAGCTGCAGGTCATCTTCCAGGACATCGAGGGAAAAATCCAAGCAGGCGGCCCCCAACCTGGACATGGCTACTGGGAGAGCCTGCTGCTTCTGCTGCGTGCGCACATGGCTAGGGCCAGGCTCCATGAGTGCCACCAGGATGCCCTGCGGCGAAAGCTGTTCCTGCTGAAGCAGACGCAGAGGGTGGAGAAGGAGCCACTGTGACCCACCCTCAAGCCCATGGCCACACCCAACCCCGGGCCCTCGGAGGACCCCGCAGAAACCCAGGGGCCTCTGGCACTGACGGACACGGACGGAGGGGCGGTGCCTATGGAGGAGGACCTGATCCAGCAGAGCCTGGCAGACTCTGACGACTACGACGCTGGCCTCTACAGCCCGAGGTTGCTCAGGGCACACAAGCTGCCGCTGGCTGCGCACGTGCTGGAGACTCACGAGGACCTGTAGCGCCTGCAGCTGTCAAGCCAGCAGCTCTGGGCCACAGGAGAGACAGTGACAGTGCTGAGGACATCCTGCGATGCGTGCGGGCGAAGAGGGCATGGGGCAGGACGAGGCGCCCTTCAATGTGGAGATGCCCGCTGCGGACACGCCTACCTGTGGGCAGACAAGTACCGGTGCAAGCCGCGCTTCTTCAACCGCGTGCACACGGGCTTCAAGTGGAACAAGTACAACCAGACGCACTATGACTTCGACAACCCGCCGCCCAAGATCGTGCAGGGCTACAAGTTCAACATCTACCCGGTCCTTATCCACGAGCGCGCCACGCCCCAGTACTTCCTGGAGGTCTGCACAGACAACTGCGACTTTGCCATCCTGTGCTTCCACTGCCAGTTCGCCAATAGCATCTTTCAGCTGTGGTTCCACTTCAAGCGCTACCGCTACCTCTGATGACACCTGCTGCGGGCCAGGACAGCTCCCTTAGCATCCTCCTGGAGCCAGTCACAGGCATTCTGCGGACCACGATGGCCCCCTTGGGTTTCTCTGTAAGGACTGCTTTTAGTGGGAAGGATTTCTTGTTCTTGTTTCCACGGACTCCTACCCTTGAGACCCCATGTGCTTTTGATACGTTCAATGGAAAGCTTATTCTAGAGAAATAAAAATTAAAAAAAAGAAGGTTGTAACAAGAAAAATAAAAGACCCAGAGTCCGATTTGATTGGTGTTCGTTCAAGCTCAAGCTGAAGAGCAGAGAAGCAAAGCAGCCAACCCAAGTAGCTCTTACCTCTACCCAGCTCAAATGGCAATCCTGTCTCCACAAATCTTCAGAGGAAGCAGGAAAGTAGGACATAGAGAATGAAAGAAAGGTAAAAAGTCCTGGGGCAAAAGGTGGATGAAGAGAAAGATGTTAATAGAAGTTGTAAGAGCTAGTGGGTTAAGCAAAATAAAGGTTGAACATTGATAACTAATATGTCTCCCTGTCATGATTTGTGGGCTTTTGGTCCAAGGAACCCTGACAGAGTACCTCTCCGGTAGGCCTATCTAGACCCCCCCAAAGTGCTCTGCTAGTTCTAGTCATCTAGCAGCCAGGTGTGGGGAGGAAAGGGAGTCTTAAGGGGGTCCTGTGGAAGTGGGTCTGTCCGTAGGAGGCAGCTTCGGATTATATACAGGTCAGCACTTAGCATTCCAGATGCTGCTTCCTGGTCTGCCACTATGTTAGCAATCTCACTAAGTGTTCCTGTTGCCACAATAGACTGAAACTATCCAAAACCAGGAGCCACCATGAACCTCCTCTCCTGTGAGCCGTGATGCTGGGTCTCTGTCACAGAAACATAAAACTAATACAAATCATCAATCACCATCTTTGAGACCTCCCAACCTCTATCACAGCAACAAAAAGTATTAGTAATTCTGTGTATTCCTGTAGTAGGGAGCCAAACATCAATCTGCTTGGAAAAAGGGTGGATCATGAAACTTTTATTGATACGGACATCTTTCGAAACACTTGATTCTAGAATCACATTCACAATCCGTGAATACCTCACTTTCTTGTTCAGAAATCAGAATCTCTGGCCTGGCCAAGGTCCTGATGCTGACTGAAGAGAAACAAGTCTTTACCTGATGCAGGATACCATTAATCGCAAGCACTAGACAAACATGACATATCCACAGAAGCTACCAGTAAACAACCTGCAAGACATGCAGTGGTCAGCTTTTGTGAGAGGCTGACGGGCACATCTTACTTTTGTTCGTTCGTTTGTTTTTTATCCAAGCTGTTATGTAGTCTAGGTTGGCCATGAACTCCACATGTAACCAAGGCTGACCCTGAACTATTGTTCTGTGTGTCCATATGGTGCCGAGGGTCAAACTGACCTTGAACTCCTGATCCTTCTGGCTCTACCCCCACCAGTTTTGATGCGATTATCTTATTTAATAATGTACAACTAAAAGAAATGCATGTTTCCAGGAAATTTTAGACTATGTGGGCCTGAATTAGCACCTAGAAAGTAGAGAAGAAAGAAAAAAAAGGAAAGCGTGCTAGCCACTGGTATCACCTGGGCCCATGTTACTGTGAGAGAAGATCCCGACTGGTTGTTGCATGTTGTGTAAGCCAGAGATCAACCGTGAATTTAGTTACCCTGGGCAAATGCTACCCACCTTGTTTTTTGAAGACAAACAGTATCTCTTATTGGCCTGGAACTCTCCAAGGAGAGTAGACTGGATGGTTTGAGTCCAGGGACCCTCCTGTCCACTTCCTCTGATCTGAGGTTGCAAGGATGCCACCAAGCCAGGTTCCTAACATGGGCCAGGGCCTCATGGTTGCCAAGCTAGCATCTCATCTACTGAATCATCTCCTCACCCTTTTCACAAGCATCTGAGTGCAAGTCACTGCCCTATGGGTGAACCTGAGGACAGCAGACTCAGCTGTTGTGTCTTTATTGACAGTTGCTAGGTCACATTTGGTGTATATAATGGCAGCTTAAATAAAGCATCAAGGTTTCATATTTCACACTGGAGAGATGGCTCACCGGTTAACAGGACATTCTGTTCTTGCGAAGAACCTGAGTTTGATTCTCAGCCACTATGTCAGGTGGCTCACTACCAACTAACTGCCTGTAACTCCAGGCCCAGAGGACTTGATGCCCTTTTCTGTCCTCCGAAGGTTCCTGCACTCACACACAGACAAGCACACTCAGACATACACACTGTAGTGAGATATCCACCCCGACCTCACCTGTTGCACTCACCACACCCATTGGGGCGTGGGCAGAGGTGCAGACATGACCTGTGGGAGACTAGGTATGAGGTCCCAGACCCTGGCCCACTCTCTTGCTTCCTGGTTGGGTGGCAGAGGGCATCTGGGTGGCATGTTTGGAGTGGGAACGCACAGCAGTCATCTGTTTCAGGTGTAAGTGATTTCTCCCCAAATAAGCATCAATCAACCTATACTTTGTCCCAATGAATCTTATTTCCCACAGGATAACACATCATTAAAAACAAAGTATTTTTTAAAACGTTATATACTTGCCCCAGTTTTATTCCAAAATTACTATACTACATATTTGTAGTAAACATTTAGGAAACTATGTTGAGAAAGGAAGAAAGCCTTTCTCGACTGCTTGAATGCCATGACACTTCAAGAATGGTACCCTGAGGAATTCCTAAATTCACATGGGTGCTGATGACCGTGTAGAAGATTATAATTCTGCTATAAAAAGTTCCACAAGGATTAGAGAAGGTTCCCCACTGCAGGGCCTCTCAGAGGGACACATCAAGTAGCATTATACTATATAATTAATGCAATATTCTTTGGTTATAGCATATTAACTAGCAGGAGCATAACCCCTTTGCTTACAAGAGATGTGTGATTCTTAGCACATTTAATAATGTCCAGAGACAATTTTATTTTTTCTTTCTGTGAGGTGGGATCTCCACAGCCCAGGCTTACCTCAAACTTACTCTGTGTAAAATGATAACCTGAACTCCTGATCTTCCTGCCTCCACTTCTGAGTACCAGGATTATAAGCATGTGTCACGACATGAATGGAGACCATTATCTCACAAACATGGGGGGCAATGCTAGCATCTACCCCACAATGTACACAGCAAGAGAATTCTCTTGCCACTAATGTCAGTTCTGAGGTTAAAAGTTTGTGGGTTTTTGTTTTTCATTTTTTAAAAATTTATTTATTACGTATGCAGTGTTCTGCCTGCAGGCCAGAAGAGGACACCAGATCTCATTACAGATGGCTGTTGTAAGCCACCATGTGGTTGCTGGGAATTGAACTCAGGATCTCTGGTAGAGTTCTTAGAGGTTAAAAGTTTTGAAAGGTTTACTTAGCCCGTTGATTGTTACCTGTTGATAAAGCAGACTATGGATGCTGCAAGGCATCCTCTTGCTTGAAGTTCCTTGTCAATTCCCATAAGCGTCATTCATTCATTCCAACCTCCATCTGAAACTAAGTCTTTGTATCACAGAACTCAGTGACAGGATGTGTCTGAGTGAGCTGAATGTGGTGATATATACCCATAAATCTCAACATTGGGAGGCAGAGGTAGGAAGATCAGAAGTTTGAGGCCAGCCTGGGTTACATAGCCACAAACTGTTTCAAAAATAAAACAAACAAAAAACAAGGAGCAAAAACAAAACAAGAAAGCAATAGGTGGGGAAGTCTGATGGACGATTAAGGGGGAGGGTGCCACAAGCACAGCACAAAGTCAGTGGTACCAACTCCGTATGCGATGTGTCCATGTGTGTGTGGTATACATATGTACAGGTACACAGGTACATATGTGGGCATGTGGAGGCCAGAGGTCAACCTTGGGTGTCATTTCTCAGGAGCCATCCGTCTAGATTTGTTGTTTAGACAGTGTTTCTCACAGGGACCTGGAACTCAATGGTTAGATAAGGCAAAGCTTGCTAGTGATCAAGCCCTAGGAACCTGCCTGTCACTGCCTCCCAGTAGTGCCATTACAAGTGTGTGTCACCATGCTGAGCTTTTGACATGGGTACTAGACACTAAATTCAGGAACTCACACTGGTGTAGAAAGCACTTACTAACAGAGCTTGATGGGGGATGCCCTTCTGTATATCTGTTTCTCTTATTGGTTGATGAATAAAACATGGATTGACCAGGCAGAAAGACAGGCAGGGCTAGGAGACAAGGAGAACGCTGGGGAGAGAGGTGGAGAAGAGATGCCATGCTGCTGAAGGAGTAACATGCCGGATTACGGGTAAACGACAGCCTCATAGCAATACATACATTAACAGATATGGGTTAATAATTTAGAGAGCTAGCCAATAAGAAGCCCAAGCCATTGGCCAACAGTTCCATAATTAATATAGCATCTGTGTGTTCATTTGGAGCTGAAGGGTGGCAGGAATAGGAGGCACAGAAACCTCCAGCAACAAGAGCTGCCTCCCCAGGACCCCAGAACACTTTATGTGACCTAAAAGTTGGTGTCACAACTTCATCACATGTACCTGAAAGGACCTCAGAGTTAGGGCAGTGTTAGCAGTAGTAATGTACTGTTAAAGGTGAAAGCCTCAAATATCTAGATTATTTTCAGTGGGGCAAAGCAAATAAAATGGTGCTAAAGGCAAACACTCAATATATTTCATTTTCACAAAAAAAAAAAATCATCACATGAAATGCCACGCATGCAGATAACACCCCTCCCCAGCTTTATTTTTTACATATTTACAATTTTACATATTTACTTATTAACATATCTTCTATCTTTACAATTACAAAATAATTTCACACTGGGAGAGTGTGGGAACATTTCAACGCAGACTCTGTAGCATCTATCTGTTTTATCCTTTAAATGGCAGTATTTGCCCCAAACCAACAACAGTGTCCACCACAGAGGAAGCCCATGGGAAAATCAGGGAGGACAGAAAAGATGGAAACAGAATTCACACAAACCTACCTCACCAACTCAAATAAATAGTGCATTATTATTTACTAGCTTCCCCTGCTAGGAAAAAAATAAAAATAAAAACAATTCCTAAAATTGTACCTTAAAAATACTTTGACCTTTTAAGCAGTTAATTCGTATCCCAGACCTGAACAGTGGAACGCAGGAGCTCCCTGAAATCAGCCCCAAGTAAAAATGGCCATGAGCAAGACATCACCCTGCATACACCTGAGGCTGCAGCGGGGGCGGGAGCTTGTCATTCTCCACATTTTCAGAGTCAATGGCTGCTAATGGTTGGTTTGGGGGCTTGATGTCCAGTGGGTATTTCTCAACAATGTCTTGAACTTCCTTGGCAATTCCATCCGTCCAGTCTATTAAGTCTTTTTCAAGTTTCTTGGCTTCACTCATGATCCTTTCCTGCCGTTCATTCAACTGAGACAGGAGGTCCAAGTTCTTATACATTTGCTTCACACCTAAGCAGGCTTCGGGGGCCCAAGTCTCAGACTCCTGCTTCCTTGGGGAAGTCTGGCCGGACATGTATCGGTCAAAATCCTCCTGACTTAAATTCAAAGACTGAGCGTCTAACTTCTCAATGAAAGCCACCGCACAGCACTGCAGAGGAAAGAGAAAGGCGTGGCAGTCAAGGCGGAGAAGCTGCAGGAGTTCAGGCAGATTTTAAAATCTCTCCCCACCCAAGTATTGGGACTGAACCGACGGCCTCATGTATGTTAGGCAAGAACTCTGCCACAAGCTATACCCCTTGCCCTTCCTTGTGTCTTTGAGATAGCTGGTAGCCCAGGCTAGCCCCAAACTTATTACATAGCCAGGAAGGATCCTGAGTTCCTCATCTCCTGGATCCTCACACCTCTGCTTCCAGAGTCCTGAGATTACAGGTCTGGCTTGTTCTCTTTGTAAGACAGGGTCTCCCTATGGACCCAGAGCTCTTGATCTACCCACCTCATCCTCTCAGCTGCTGGCATGTGCTAACATGCCCACATTTCTGGATACTTGATTTTCCCTTTGTTCAAGAATCTCTTTGGTCCAGTGGCTTCACAGTTCCACTAATTCCTTGCACCTCAGCAGATTCTGTCCTCTGTTCCCCATTCTGCCATCTCTATCATCTCTCCCAGCTCTGTCTCCTTAGTCCCAGCTGTCCCTCATGTATGAGCATTCACAGGTCTGTATTACCTGCCTTCAACTCATCCTGAGCTCCAGTCATTTATTACATGGGAAACATGTATCCAAAACCAAAACAGCTTCTGTGCCTAGTGAACTTTCCTTTCACAATCTCCCCTATTCATATCAGTGGTAAGGCTGAATCTCCCCCAGTAAGTCAGCAGCATCGGCATCAGATGACCCCTCCTTGCAACAGATCACAAGGGGCCGCAGTGATGCTGATACCAGGCAAGCAACAGGAGCCAAGCAGCATGCTCTCCTCAGATCTCAACTCCTCATGGGATGATCTGCCGAGTGACGTACACTTCTAGAGAAGTGCAAAGAGGTATGTAGACTGGTCATCTCCCCTCTGACAAGCATGCACCCCCCCCCCCAGAGCTCTAAGCTGTCACAGGACCCTTAGGTAAATCCCCTCCTGGGCCTTCTCCCTGCCTTCAGAAGTCAAATCTTACCAGGTTGGTGAAGTAGTAGCCATCCTCGCCCGTCATAAGCCGGCTAGGATTACAGAAGCGAGTGATGTACTGGATGTTGGACTGCAGGCGAGGGGGGTTGCCCTTCAGGACGATGTAGATGAGGGTGGGCAGGAAGTCATCAGCTGAGGCTGGCTCATTCTTGGTGATCTTGATGGCATTGAAGATGTGCTTGCTGCACCTAGTGATGCAGGCTAGCTTGTCCCGAGGCACACGCTTTGAGTCCATCTCGATGATGTCTGTGAAGCAGAGGGACAGTCCCACCTTGAGAGAGTTACCACACAAGAAGCAACTGGCCAGGCAAGGTGGTACCACCCTAGCATAGGATGCCTAAGCATAGCTACAGTGAGACTCTGTTTTTATCTTAAAGGGGATTGGGCAAGGGCAGCAATGGGCTAAGTACTTTTAATCCTTCAGGACAGAGGTGTCTCATTACCCACTCCTCCAGCAGTTAGATTAATATAGGAGGAACTTAAACCACCAAAGCAGTTCAGACAAATTACTGAACATAGCATGAACCAGGCATGCCACCTTTAGGACATCCATCTCAAACATGGGTCACTGAGTATCAGAGAGGCTTGCTTGATTGCCCAAGGTCATGCAGAGAACAGAAAACAGAGAGGAATGACACAAGTTTGCCCAAGAAGCCCACGGGAGAACAGCCCTGTGCTCCATGGGAAAGGGAGACAAGGTGTTTTTTTTTTTTTTTTTTTTTTTTTTTTGTTTTGTTTTTTTTAAAGTGTTTCATTGTTTTTTTTTTTTTTACTTTCACAACTGGCTGCCCTGAATTCCCAATGTAGCAAGGATAACCTTGAACTGATTCTTTTCCCACTACCTCCCATGTGCCGGGAAGATGGGTATGCACCAACACACCCAGTTAATGCAGTAGAAGATGAAACATGGGGCTTATTCCACTGAGCCCCACTCCCAGCCTCTCCTAACATAATGAGCCTCAATCCCTAGCCTCTCCTAGGTACCTTTAAACTCAGTTTGGACTGTCTTCACTATCCACACTGCTCTTCAGGGACATGGCTACTATCAAGCTCTCTGACACAAAAGCCAGAAGAGTTGACTTGAGTGGAGAAGAGTAGTAGCCATTGTCATTTCTAGCTGCATTTGAATTAGTTTAGCTTATGTCCAAACAATGAGACTCTGGGCTAGCAAGATGGGTTGGTAAGTAAAAGAACTTGCTGCCACTCCTGACAACCTGAGTTTGATCCCTGTGGCACACACTGTGGAAGGAGAGAATGGACTCCCACAAGTTGTCCTTTGTCCTCACATTTAAGATGCAGTATGTTGCCTTAAATAAATGAACAAATAAATAAACGTTACTTAATATGTATGTATATAAAATCACAGGGACTGCAGAGATGGCTCAGCAGTTAAGAGCACTGGCTGCTCTTCCAGAGACCCAGGTTCAATTCCCAACAGCCACATGACAACTCACAACTGTCTGTAACTCCTGTTATATGTGCACACAAAACACCAATACACATAAAGTAAACATAAATGATTTTTTTAAAATATCAAAAGCAGTTCAAGTAAAACAAGAAGGGGAAAGGAGTTTACTTGCTGTAATGGGTAGCACCCAGCAGTCAGGTGGCAGAGACAGAGGCAGGCAGGTCTCTGACTTTAAGTCAGCCTGGTCTTCCATAGCAAGTTCTAGGCTAGCCTGCCTTAAACGAATGAACAAAAGGAAGAAAGAAAGAAAGAAAGAAAGAAAGAAAGAAAGAAAGAAAGAAAGGAAGGAAGGAAGGAAGGAAGGAAGGAAGGAAGGAAGGAAGGAAGGAAGAAAGAGGAGGAGGGAAGGAAGGATAGATTCTAAGGGATTTCTATGGGTTAATATTGCAGAATCATGTTAACCTGTCAGCTCTCAGCCCCACTGACCTGTGATAGCTTTCACCACCATGTCAGACACTTCAGGGATTTCCTCATTGACAGGGACACAGAGCATCTGAGGTGTCACCCAGTGCAGAGCCCTGCAGAGAGAGAGAGGGGTGGTCAGGAAGAGGCCTAAGAACAGAAGGGAGACTCTAATCCTGTTGCTTCCTCCAATCAAAGGAAAATGGGTTATCATGTAGTCCCGAGTTCAAGCACATGGCTCCTGACCACGTAAGAAGTTTAGCTGACAGGAGAAAGTAAAACCCTAAAAAAAAGTCACACCACTTCTGCACCAGGGCAGTCTCTTGGCTCAAAGGAGATTCCACTATGAAACCAATGTATCCTATTGTCAATGTCCAAGACACACAGGAGTCCCAAGAGGGTGACATGTCTCCACAACCTGAGTCCCTTCCTAACTCACCTTGCCTTTACACTGGCCTCTGTGGCTGAGTTCTCTATCAGCATGACCGATGCTCTCAGCAGCCTACTCCTCAGGCTAATATCTATCTAACTTCTAGTCCCTGGCCTTGGCCTCTAGTTTACATCTTCCCTGTGTCAACTCCTCACTTCTGGTATGGCATCTCCACATACTTATCTATTACCGGCCCCTTTATCTGAGACCTCATTTGAGGTTCCTCAGGAAAGGACATAGGGGCTCCAGATACACCATATGACTCAGCCTTGGAACTGTCCACACACTGGGTGCTGTGATAGTTAGTCTTCAGTGTTAACCTGACTCCATTTAGAATCCCTAGAGAATACCTCTGGACTCACTGATAAAGGCTTTTACAGAAGATTAACTAAGGAGGTAAGATCTATCCTAAATTTTAGTGCTGTCATCCATGGGCTGGGGACTCAAGCTGAAGAAAAGAGCATAGTGGGCATGCCTGTAATTTCTTAAACTTGAGAGGTTAAACTTGAGAAGCAAGAAGATCAGGAGATCAAGATTAGCCTCAGCTACATGAGACTCTGTCAAAAAACAAAGGGGCTGGAGAGATAGCTCAGGGTTAAGAGCACTGTCTATTCTTGCAGAGGACCTGGGTCAGTTCCCAGCATCCACATGAACACTCACAACCACCTGTACCCCCAGATCCAGGGATCCAGTGCTTCTCCTGACCTCCGTTGGTTCCTGTATATACATGGTGTACATAACACACACCCAGGCACATACATGTACACATACAGTAAATTTTAAAGGGGGAAGAGAGAAGAGGCTTCCAAACCCATGGTGTTATATGAAGTTCCAGCTGCATGTTCCTGCCACAGGCCTGCCTTCCCCACAATGATGAACTAGACCCTCCTAAACCAAAACCCAAACAATTCCTTTTCTTCAGCTGTTTCTGTCAATTATCATCATAGCAGTGAACAAGTAACTAATCCAGATTTGTTAGTAAGTGGTCCACTGCTGCTGAACTGCAGAGTCTGGGGTCACTCCAGGGGTTCCCCAAGAATGGGTCAGTAATCATCACCAGTTCAGATTGGCAAAGACATGCCTGCACAGCTGCCTGGAGAATGCAACCCAACAGGTTGGGAAGGAGGAGTGATGATACCACTGCCTTGACACAGACAGTCACAGCTGCCCTCCTGACAAGGAAACAAGAAATCAAGTCCTCGTGTTCCCTGAAAATTTTAGAGACTAGAACAATCTCAAATACCCAACACAAATCCCATCTCCAGCCAGCTGAGTCCGACAGAAAGGCAGGTAAGCGCGTGCCTGGCTGAGAAGCTCACATGCTGCACCGCTCAGGGTTGGAAGCTCTCAGCACTATTGCCCACATGCTCTTTCCATTCTAGAAAGCAGACAAAAGACAGGCACGGCACTCACCTGATCCTCTTTTGAATGGCAAGATCTTTCTTCTCATCATCAGTAGTCTCTGGGCAGAACACGAATTTATAGAGTCGGGTCATGATGTGCTTTTCAATCTGATCCATTATCTTCTCCACTTTCTCTGGAGGCACTGGAATACACAGATGGGCAAAACAGCTCAAGAGAAGGACTTCAAATCAATAAATGCTGTTATACTGTTTTCCACATTTTCCACACAGGAAAAAAGTTAATTTATGATAAATATAACCAGTAAAGAAATTTACAAATATCACATTAAAAATCCCCTTTAGAAACTCACAACTTAGCCAGGTAGTGGTGGTTCATGCCTTTAGTCCCATCACTTGGGTGACAGAGGCAGATGAATCTCTGTGAGTTTGAGACCAGCCTGGTCTACAAGAGCTAGTTCCAGGACAGTCTCCAAAGTCCCAATTGTCCAACTGTCCTGGTCATACACAGGGAGGAAGACATTCAAAGGCATCTCAAGGTATGACATAGCTGCCAGTGTCGGCATGGCACCAGCCAAGCCAATCGGAGCACTGGAAAACAGCTAACTTGAGCTACAACCAGCTGCCGCATAACAGCTGGCCAACACATTACCTTTTCCACGAGTCTGCATTCTTTCGGCCACATTCTGGTAAAAGTCCTGAGTACATTCTGATTGCTCCTCGATGCTTAAATCCTGGAATCAATAGACAAGAGACTGGTGAGCAGCTGAAGAATCTGAGGAGAACACTACATTTCAACCAGTTTCTAACTCAGAGCACTTACAAATTACACATATTCTACAAGAAAAAGGGTACAATTCATCATTTTTACATTTCACTGTATGCACATGTAGTTTGTGTGCACTCATTTATTTCATTTACATCATCACTCTCATTATGATCATTATTGTTAATTTCTTCATGACAGGTTCTCGCTGTGTAAGCCACACTCCTATCTAGAATTTAATAGTTGTAACATATAGGGTATTTTTTTAATCCCTTTTGAGTTACTCTTTAAAAATATTCATTTTATTTATTTTATTTTATGAGTACATGTATGTGCCTGAGTGTATGTGTGTTCGCAGAGGCCAGAAGAAGAGGGTGTTGGATGGATCTCCTCAAACTGGAGCTACAGATAGATGATTGTGAGCTACCATGTGGGTGCTGGGAATCAAACCCAGGTCCTCTGGGAGAGCAGCCACTGCTCTTAACCACTGAGCCATTGCTCCAAGTCAATTTAAAAATAAATAAATAAATAAATGGTACTGGAGATTGGTCCTGTGGTATCATGAATGCTAAGCAAGCGCTTTCCCCCCTAACTACATCCCCACCCCATTTAAGGTTTGTACATGCACAAAGAATCCACATTTACTTTTATTTATTTTATTTTGAGGGCTCAGGAGTTAAAAGCTCATGCTGCTTTTGCAGAGGACTCAAGTTTATTCACCAAAACCCACGTCAGGCAGCTCATCACTGCCTCCCTGAAACTCCACCTCTGATGGGAGATGCCATTCTGTAAATATGTTTCTCATACTGGTTAATGAATAAAGCACTGTTGGCCAATAGGAAAGGAAGATAGGAGGGACTAGGAGACAAGGAGGAAAGAGGAATAGGGAGGAGTCAACATGGAGAGACCGGAGAGAGCCTGACGCCAGCTGGCTCTCCGAGGGTAAGAGGAGACCACGTGGAAATACATAGATTAACAGAAATGGGTTAATACACATACTCACGTGCACATACCTAAACACACACACACACACACACACACACGCATATCTTTTTAAGCAAAATAATTTTTAAGTGTGTGGGTGCCAGCAGAGGCTAGAGAGGACAATGGACCTGTTGAGTCCTTCAGATCGGAGCTGGAGTTGCATACAGATGGAGGTTCTAACCCTGACACGGGTGTTAGGAACTGAACTTGGGTCCTCTGGAAGAGCAGTGCACTCTCTTAACCTCTGAGTCATCTTCCCAGCCTCACTGGGGCCTCATTTCTATTTTTTTCTAATTAAAAAAAAAAAATTTAGTTTTCATTTTACAAATCAACCCCAGTTCCCTGTCCCTCCCCCTCTCTCACTCCCCCAACCTCCCATCCTTCCCATCCCCATCCACTCCTCAGAGAAGGTAGGATGGGGCCTCATTTATAATCAAATATTTTTCTACTCTTTAAAAAAAAAAAAAGTCAATTGCTCTCTAGTTACTACATATTCATGGGCACAGTGATACTTCTATCTGGGTGCAGTGAACAGACCAAGGCATCTAGTATAAGAATCCTAGACTTGTTATTTAGAAATACACCATTACGTGTCAACAGACATTGCTTTCCTACTGTGCTGAGGGACATCAGAGAGGCTGGAGAAGGTAACTCAGAGGTTAAGAGCACCTGCTGCTCTTCCAGAGGACAAGAATTAAGTGCTAGCATCCACATCAGGTGACTCAAAACAGCTCTTGAGTTCCCACACCTTCTGACCACCTCTTTGGACACCTGCATACATGTGCACATACTGACATGCAGGCAGGCGCATGCACACACACACATACACACACACACACACACACACACACACACACGCACGCACGCACGCAACGCACGCACGCACGCATACCCTTGTACCTGCCTTCCTTTCCTCACCCCTCTGCCTTGCCACCCCACACCTGGAGGCACTGTTCTGCACTCCTACAATGTTGCCTTTTTCAGCCTCTGCATTAAATGAGAACAGGCCGCTTCTAATTTCCTGACTCAGTTTGTGTTACTTCCTCCCAACTTCCTCAAGAATTAAGGCGTGTGTTGATGAGCCTCTTTCTTTAAACATACCCTTCTGGTTTCTAACAGTGACCAGGCAGGGCAAACTATTATTTGGGTTAAAACACTCAAGTGGATGCTGGCAATGTGGTTCAGTGGGTAGAGTGCTCAACTAGACTGCAAAAGGCCCCAGACTGATTCCCAGCACAGTGTAAACCATTGGTGAACTCGTGTGATTCAGCACTTAGGAGTAGAGGTAGAAGAATCAAGAATTTAAGGCCAGTGTAGGCTATATGAGACCTTATCTCATTTATTCTGGAAAAGTATAAGTGAATGAAGATGCAGTCACATTTTAAACTATAAACTCTTCATTTAAACACAGAAAAACACCTTTTCCATAAGCATTAACACAAGGCATACTTTAAGTTTAAACAAACTAATCAGTAGCAAAATTTTTTTTTTTCTTTTTGAGACAGGGTCATCCTCTACATAGCTCAGGCTATGTAGAATTGCCTATGTGGACAGGCTGACCTCAAACTCAAAAGATCCACTTGCCTCTGCCTTCTAAGTGCTGGGACTGAAGGCATACACCATAGCAAATTTTAACATAAAGGCTGACAGGGGATGGGGGGAGTAGTGGTGGTAATGAAATGGCCAAAATGTTCTATGTTATGTTTGACCACTTCCCTAGTAAGGAAAATGAGGTCACACAGTAGCAGCTCATATAGGTTTTGTTTGTAAAGATTTATGTTTATGTGTGTCTTTACCTACAAATATGTATATGCACCACATGCATGCTTGGTGCCCTCAGAAGACAGAAGCTGGTGTCAGATGCACCGACAGTGATGAACAGCTAAGCCATGAATGCTGAGCACTGAACCTGGGTGGTCTACTACTGGGCCAGCTCTCCAGCCCTATGGAAATTATGTTTTAAAACTGGAATTAAGGGGTCTAGAGAGACTGCTCAGTGGTTAAAAGCACTGGCTGCTCTTACAGAGGACCTGGGTTCAGTTCCTGGCACCTACATGGCAGCTCCCAATCATCTGCAATTCTAGTTCCAGGAGATCCAATGCCTTCCTTCTGACCTATGTCGACACAGGGAAATCAAGTGGTGGACAGTCCTACGTGCAGCCACAACACCCATACTCATAAAAGAAAAACTTTAAATTAAGAAAAATAATAAAGGCAGGAAGAGCTCTGTGAGTTCAAGGCCAGCCTGGTCTACCAAGCTACTTCCAGGACAGGGCTGTTACACAGAGAAACCCTGCTTCAAAAAAAACCAAAATAATTAAATAAACCCTGAACTGAGCAATGAGGTGAAGGCAGGATGAACACAGGTTCAGGATCGTCTCTGGATGTACAGCAAGTGTAAGGCTACATGAGACCTTCTCAAAGAGCAGAGACAAAAACAAGCAAGCAGAAGAAAAACCTCCATCAAGTAACTCAGAAAATCAGTTCAATTTAAAAATAAACTTTGGGTTTTACTGCACTATCCTACAGACTAGAGGCAATGTACACTGAGGGTGGTGATAATGTAGACAGAGGATTAACCCTTTCAAGAAAGGGCAGGCTGTTCTTTCAGAATTGGCAAAGAATTTTTCATTTCTTTTCTTTTCTTTTTTTTGAGACAGGGTTTCTCTGTGTAGCCTTAGCTGTCCTGGAATTTGCTCTATACACCGGGCTGGTCTTGAACTCACAGAGCTCTGCCTGACCCTGACTCCCAGGTGCTCTATTATTAACATTAGTAAGTGCAGACTATAAACAGTTGAAACAGCAATGAGTTCCACTCCAAGCCTTCTGTACATGTAATATCGGGTGCCTGTTTGTTTGCTTTTGCTTGAGACATGGTCTCACTCTGTAGCCCAAGCTGATCTACACCTCATAATATAGCCCATACCATAGTCTAACTCACTGCCATCTGCCTTGTAAGTGCTGAGATTATGGATGGTCATATGCCACCATACCCAGCTAGATTTGGGTATTGAGACAGGCTCTCATTTTTTTTTAATCCAAGCCCATCTCAAATTTGTGGGTTCAAGTAATCCTCCCACTTTGGCTTACCAAGAACTGAAAGTACAGGCTTACATAAACGCACCCAGCCTAATAGCATGTTTTATACATGTTTTCATAGAAACAGACTTGAAGAAAACTCTTCAGCAAGCCATGGAACTCATTAAATCAAATAACAAGGTTTTCTAGTAAGGATGGGAGGGAGCAGTGTCTCTCTGGGTCTCCCATGCTTAGTTGCTTACTTGCCTTTCAAGATGAGGTCTCACTATATAGCTCTGGCTGACTTTGAACTCATTATGTAGACCAGGCTGGCCTATAACTCAGAGATGCAATCTACCTGCCTCTGCCTCTTGAGTACTGAAATTAAAGGCATGTACCACAATGCCCAACTTTCCACCATGCTTTATTTATTTCGTTTTGTTTTGTTTTTTGTTGTTTCAAGACTATATTTATTGATTTGGAGCCTGTCCTGGAACTAGTTCTGTAGACCAGGCTGGACTCAAACTCACAGAGATCCACCTGCCTCCCAAGTGCTAGGATTAAAGGCATGTGCCACCAACGCCCAACTTTCCACCATACTTTAAAATTACTCTTGAAGGACTGGACAGATGGCTCAGTAGTTAACAGCAGCAGTTGCTGCTCTTCCAGAGGATCCAAGTTCTATTCCCAGCACTCATAGGCAGCTCATAACTGTCTCTAACCCCAGTCCAGAGGATCCAATGCCCTCTTCTGACCTCAGTGGGCCCTGCATGAACTAGGTACACAGATATACATGCAGGCAAAATACCCGTATACATAAAGTAATAAAATACGACAAAAAAAGCTATAGATACTGCACTCACAGGAGACCACATATACCCTTGAACCCACAGCCACTATTCTAACTAACTGAAGCTTGAGTCTTATATTAAGATAATTTTTTTTAACATTTGATTTTTAATTATATGTATAAATGTGTGTATGGAGGGGTATGTGCATGAGTGCAGACCTAACAGAGGTCAGAAGAGGGCAATGGATTCTCTGGAGTTAGAGTTATCAGCAGTTGTGTGCACCCCAACAAAAGTGTTGGACACTGAACTTCTAGGTCCTCAGAAAGAGCAAGACTGGCCCTTTACAGTAAGATTGTTTCATTCAAGTAATTTTATACAAATAAGAACAAAGAAGCCTGGCAGTGGTAGCACACACCTTTAATCCCAGTGGGAGGCAGAGGCAGATGGATCTCTGTGAGTTCGAGGCCAACCTGGTCTACATAATGAATTCCAGAATAGCCAGGGCTACACAGAGAAACCTTGTCTTGAAAAACTAAAAAAAGAATAAAGGAACCAAGTATTGTAAATTCTAGCTTCTGTCTTTTGTAACGCTCCTCCTTTTGTAATGTTCCTCCATTGTCTCCCTTTTTTTTTTTTCCTCCTTTTTTCCTTTATTCACCAGGAGGCTGAACTCAGAACTTTGTCCCCTGAGCCACACACTGGCCCCTTCTCTCTCTCTCTCTCTCTCTCTCTCTCTCTCTCTCTCTCTCTCTCTCTCTCTCTCTCTCTCTCTCTCTCTCTCTCTCTCTCTTTTGGGGGGGAGGGGAGGATGTTTTGATTTTTTTGTTTGCTTGTTTTGTTTTGTTTTTCAAGACAGGGTTTCTCTGTGTAGCCCTAGCTATCCTAGAACTCACTCTGTAGACCAGGCTGGCCTTGAACTCAGAGATGTGCCAGCACCTACCTTCTGAGGGCTGGGATTAGGTGTGCACCACCATGCCTGGCAGGCTTTCTCCACTTCCTTTTCACAGGACTGGGACTGTGTTCTAGGCAGGCTCTCTACCACTTAATTTTAAAATGTTTTTGTGATTGTTTTTTTGAGACAGAGTTTCACTCTGTGGCTCAGGCTGACTTGGAACTCACTATATTGTAGTTCAGATTGACTTCAAGCTTGGTGATCTGGATCTTCGAGATTACAGAAGTGATTTATATAACAGTGTTAATTATGCAAATGCTGTTCTCACTGCAATGGAAAGATATCATTCTGAAGACTACGAAGAGGTTCAATAATATGTATTAAATCAGGTAGCTAATCACAGAGCCAGATATGGTGAGGTTCTGTTCCTAGCTTCTACATGGCTGTTCACAATTAACTATAACCCATGCACCAGGGAATTCAAAGCCCTCTCCCTGGGCTCGTTACATACAAAGAAAAATAAATCTTAAAAGAGAAAAAGGAGTGACTCCCTCAGAAGAAGCCCCACACACCCACACTTCAGGATGTATCTTTCTTCTGGAGTGTCCCTCAACCATTGAGCTTTAAAATCTATTTCAAAATATCTTTAATAAACTAACTGCTTTTAAAAATGGAGGAAAAATTAAAAACCTTTGGAAAATATTAGCAAAAAAGGTTGTTGGATCTGAAATTTTAGTCAAAGGGAACATATTTAGTTTTTTTTTTTTTTTAAAGCCTAAATGCAGATTGTTTCCTGACAAAGATCAAATGTCTGGGAAAGACATTTAATGCAGTTCTGAAAACAATTGTCTAATCTTGGCCCACATACAGAACAGGTTGTTCAACTCTGGTATAAACTAGGACTGGAGAAAACAGGAACGATGCAGAATCAGACACAGGCAAGAGTGTGTCATTGTTCTACACCAACAATTTGGAGAAAGAATCTGTGTAATGCAATAGGAACAAAGATCAGTTTATATCAATGGTCAGTGGGGCTATTTCTACGGATAAGGGGTTGTTTTCAAGCTCAATAGGCCCTTAGAGCAATATCAAGAAAGTTTAAGTACAGAAAAGGTTTGTAAGCACATTTGAAGAGCTCAATACAGAATGGACCTTAACCTACAGTATGTTTTGAAATCTCCAGGAACTGTCCCCTATGTTGTACTTAATAAATCTATCTGGTTAGTGTCTTAAAGCTAGATTAAGTGAGTTCAGCCATAAATAACAAATTTTATAACTTGAAGTCAAAGGCTAGTATGGATTCCTTCAACACCTGGTGAGGTGGCTAGTGGATAAAGGCACTTCCTGCCAAGCCTAGAGGCCTAAGTTTGATCCCTAGGACCTACACGGTGGAAAGAGAGAACAGTTGCCCTTTGACCTCCATATGTGCACACCTATACACACACAAGCACACACACACAAACACACAAGTAAGCAAACAAATAAATAAACTTTTAAAAATTCATCTGTACATATAAAATGTATCAGATATGTGGTCCATCATGCTAGACACCAAAGATACACAGGACCCATGAGTGAGAATGGGGATGCTTACCACAAAACAGTTGGTGCTAGTGTAAAACAGAAACTTAGTTGCACAATAGTTTTTAAAACAGGAGGAATTTAAGGCTCATTGAGATCTCCAGTATCAATTAGTGATTCCCTGAACACACAGCATGGTGGCATCTGTGACAGCTGCTTGCTTATATTTTTTTTTCTATGTATGTATGTATGTATGTATGTATGTATGTATTTATTTATTTATTTATTTGAGACAGGGTCTCATTGTGCAGCCTTGGCTGGCCTAGAACTCACTATGTAGCCTACACTATCCTTAAACTCACAGAGATCTGCCTACCTTTTCCTCCAGAGTGCTGTTAATAAAGGCATGCATCGCCACACCAGGCTTGCCTATTTATTTTCACAGACTCAGTAAAAGGTCAATTAAATGATTTCAGAACAAGAGTACATTATGCTTCTCATAAGGAAAACAAACCCAAGTTGAACAGTGCTTCTGGAAATATAATATAAACACAGTATATATTCTGTACATACTGCAGCCTAAATGCAAATTCAGTAGGGATCTCCTCTTGACCATTCCAGCCCAAGAACAAAAACCCCTCAAACCTCACTTTTTACACATTAAAGAAGCCTATCGTTGTCCTCTCTCTCTCTCTCTCTCTCTTTCTCTCTCTCTCTCTCTCCCCCCAACCCATACATTAACACCAGTGGTAGCTTGCTTGAACTCTAAATGTCACTGTTTCTTTACAAATACTTAAAGAAAAAGAGACAGTTGCTTGCTAACATGGGGTCATGGCACCCCCTGAAGAGCAAGAAGGAAAAGCTTCCCCTTCCAGAACTGAACCTTAGGAACACTTGGGAATGTCGGGCACAGACCCATCACTTATTAGGCTAGAGATGCCTGGAGGAGGGGCACAGTTGTGCAGCTCTGCACCCTGATTACCGTTCACTTCTTTGTGAGCTCCCTTCACCTCACAGAAGACTCAGACCTAGATGAGCTGTAGAAGGTGAAAAGACTTCATCTTTATTTACAAAATGAATTCGTTCACAAATAGTCTTATGAATTATGGAAACTGAAATTACCAGGCATGGTGGTATGTCCCTGTAATCCCAGCCCTGTGAAGGCTGGGGGCGGAGGTGGGGAGCTAAAGTCTAGCCTGAGCTACACAGTGAGATGCACGTGGAACCCACAACTCTAGCCGACACTGGTGAAAACCCTAGCAAGGGACCTGACAGTTAACTTCCACTCTTTGCTTTCCAAAGCCCTTCATCTACAGCACAAAAGGACTGAAACTGTAGCTGCTAACTGTACCTTTCAATGTCTACACTTATCCTTGTTTCTCTAAGTGGACATGGAGAAGAATATTAAATATCTAACATGCTAGGCATGGTGCTGAACACCTTTAATCGTAGGAGGCAGAGGCAGGAGGCTGAGGCAGGAGGCTCTCTGTGAGTTCAAGGCCAGCCAGGACTACAACTGTGAGACCCTGTCTCAATCAAAGAATAAAAGTAGAAAAAAGGAATGATCCAAATACAAAAAGTAAAACAAGTAATAACAACGTAGACTTCATGCTACTGGCCTAAGAGTTAAACTAAAGAGCCTGGAGAGGTGGCTCAGAGATAAGAGCACTGACTGGTTGTTCTTTCCAGAGATCCTGAGTTCAATTCCTAGCAATCACATGGTGGCTCACAACTATCTATAGTAAGATTTGGTACCCTCTTCTGGCATGTAGGCATGCATGCAGACAGAACATGTACACACAATAAATAACTAAATCTTAAAAAAAAAAAAAAAAAAAAAAAAAAAAAGAGTTAAAGAGTTGAGCTGGGTAGCACAAGCCTTTAATCCCAGCACTTGTGAGTTCAAGACTAGCCTGATCTATAGAGCAAATTCCAGGACAGCCAGAGCTGCTATATAGAGCAACCCTGTCTGGGGAAAAACAAAAGAGTTGAGCTAAGGTCTATAAGGTCTATGGAGGCAGGCTACTCCATTACAAGGTAACTAACTTCAGAAGTTTCACAGAGATGACCAGAGCACAGTGGAAAAGTACCAGCCTGAGAGTCAGGTGTTAACTGAGCCAAAAGGCTTGTCTTACGTAAACGTCACCTTGTTCTTCTCAGGTGTAAAATGACAAGATCACAGTTATCTCTAACCTTCCCTAAAACCACAGCTCTTATTTCCAAGTGGTTAGACTCAGCCTACCCTTTTGTAATGCATTGTTTCCAAAAACATCTTCGTCTGTTTATAGATTTCTTGGCCTGTCTTGTGGAAGGTCTTGAGAAAGTCTATGAACTCTTTAGTCACTCGATCCGTCTCAATGCTGGTTTGCCGGTTTATGGAAGGACTGGGAGCTTTGGCTTCCTGAATTTCTGCTGAGAAAATTAAACACAGTAAGTTTTGTTACCCAGAAGACTAATGTATGGAATTAATCTATGTAACTATCAAGATTATTGAATTTATGTTTAATTAAGATTAAATTTACATCACTTTATATTTAAACATTTGGATGAGTGTCCTTAAAGTAAGGAAAATTTGGAATTATAAGTAGATAAAATTACATGATCTAAAACATATTCAGCTGGACTGGAAACATGGCTCAGTTGATAGAGTGCTTGCCTGGTTTGTAAAAATCCCTTGGTTCTAGACCCAGCAATGCATAAACTAGGTATACAACTGTAATCCTTGGGAAGTGGAGGCAGGAGGATCCAGGTCAGCTCAAGGTCATCCTCAGTTACCTAGTGAGACTGTAGTCAGCCTGGGTTACATGAGACCCTGTCTTAAAAAACTTAACTACAGGATGGCCAGATGGATCCGCAGGCAAAAAAAGCTAGTCATTCAAGCCTGGTGACCTAAATTCAACCTCCAAGAACCAGAGTAGAACAGAGAATGACTCCTGATTGCTCTCTGTGATCAACTGAATTAGGGAATTCTTAAAAATACAAATATAGGGCCGGGCACATGGCAACAACCTTTAATCACAGCAGAGGCAGAGGTAGGCAGATCTCTAAACTAAGGCCAGTTTGGTCTGCATAGTGAGTTCCAGGCTACACAGTGAGATCCAGAAAATAAACAGTTAGAAAAAGCACATCAAGTAATAACAAAAACTCTCAAATTTGTGCTACCAGCCTAACAGCTGTGTTAAAGTGAGTTACAGGTGTAGGAAGGCAGGATACTGTTATAAGGTAACAAATGTGGGGGGGGGGGGCTGTGCTTCCTGAAGTCAGAAGTTCCACTGAGTGCAGTGGAAAAGTACTAGTACACAGCCACTTCCACCCAAATAAAACATAAAACAAAAACAAAAACAAACAAACAAACAAAAAAAAAACAAAAACAACTAACCAGGGGCTGGTAAGATTGCTCAAAAGGGAAAAGTGCTTTTCACACAGGCCCGGAGATGTGCTCTATCTCAAGAACCCACATAAAGTAGAAAGAAAAAACTCCAGAGCATTGTAATGTTATCTCCACAGGCTCCCAGACACATAGCCAACTAATAAATTTTTTAAACTAAGAGAAAACAAATAATAGCTATTCAATAGAAGCCACTCCTTAGCACTCTTTTAGCCAAAATATTCATAGCCAAAATATTCAATACTTTGAGGTATATCCTTAATCACTAATACTGAAATGTACCCTTTCTTGAACAACTTTCTTTATGATCTCCTGAGTCTGTCAAAAACATCACCAACCAAAGTAACCATCAATGGGAGCACAAAGGCATCAGGTAACACATTGTATTAGCAAACCTTCCAAATGAATGACCTTTCACCTGCCAAAAAGACAAAGGCCAATTTATTTCCCCACTATTCAGTTTGCAAGTCACACTGCTCACAGTAAAAATGTATCGAAGCTGGGTGCAATGGCATAAGCCTGTAATTCTAGCACTCAAAAGATTGAGGCAGGAGGATCAAGTCCTAGGTCAGCCTGGATTACGTAGTTCATTTGATACCAGCTTGAGCTTTATAGCAAGATTCTAACACTCTCAAACACATATTCCCCAATACACATTAAGTAAAAGGTTTTGTTTGTTTTTCCCTTTAGAGACAGAAGCCTCAGCTTCCTAAGTGCTAGGACTACACGTGTGTACCACCATACCACCAAAGAGACTGAAAGGTTCTAAATCGACTAACTTCACACTATCATTTTATTGGTTTGGTTTGTTTGTTTGTTTGTTTCTGATACAGGGTTTCTCTATGGCTTTGAGGCAGGGTCTTACTATGCAGCCCTGGATGGCCTGGAACTCAATAAGTAGGCCAGGCTCTCCTTGGGCTCACAGAGCTCCATCTGCCTTGACCTCCTAAATTCTGGGATTAAAGGCATGGGACACCATGCCTAGCTCCACATTACTTAGGAGAAAACCTCTGACTTCCACACATGGGGACACACCCTACCCATCACAAAACTAGACAGACAGGATTATTTATGTATTTTATGCATATGGGTACTTTGTCTACATATACGTCTACACAACAGAAGAGGACATCAGATCCCATTACAGGCAGTTGAAGGCCACTACGTGAATACTGAGCCATCTCTCCAACCCCCCAAGACCAATGATCTTAACAGGGAAGATAAGCACTTCAAGAATAACAAATATACAAATTAAAACCACAAGAAGATGTCATTCAAAAACTTAAATTTGCTGGGTGGTAGGCACACACCTTTAATTCCTGTTATTGGGAGGCAGAGACAGACAGATTTCTGTGAGTTCAAGGCCAGCCTGGTCTACCAAGTGAGTTCCAGGACAGCTAGGGCTGTTACACAGAGAAACAATGTCTCAAGAGAAAGGAAGGAAGGAAGGAAGGAAAGAAGGGAGGGAGGGAGGGAGGGAAAAGAAAGATAAGTTGAAAAGTTAACTTACTAATTTAGTAATAATAAAATTCATCAAAATCTATGGTTGTTTGAATAAGAATGGCCCCCACAGGCTCATATTTTTGCATACCTAGTTCCCAGTTGGTGAACTACTTGAGCAGTTTTAGAAGAATTAGAAGGTGTGGTCTTGTAGGAGTAAGTGTGTCACTTAAATGAAAACAGCAATAATCATTCTATCTGGAAGGTCATAAAGAGTCTCAATGGGGCTATCATTGCTCATTTTGCCTTTAAGAAACCAATTTACTCCAGGAAGCATGCAGAGGCTCTGAGAGAGCAGGTCTCCTGCCAGCATCAATGTTTGCTCTCAGTGTCTCACCATATCAGCCTTTACGGTATAAGACTGTGAGGCTCAGACACAACCAGCATCTTCTGAGACTCACTGAAACTCTTCAACTAGCCTGTCTGCTCACTGATAGAACAAACGAGCTTTTAATTTTATCTATTTATTGCTTTCATTTTATTTAAACGATGGATATTTTGTCTGCATTAAGTGTCTATGCACTATTTCTATGCCCAGTAAGCAGGAGGCCAGAAGAGGGATTCCCTGGAACTGGGAGTTACAGACAGCTGTCAGCTGCCACATGGGTGCTGAGACTCAAATCTGGGTCCTGTAGAAGAGCAGCTAGTACACTTGACTACTGAGCCATCTCTTCAGTAGCAAATCACTATGCCTTTCTTTCTATAGCATTTTAAATTCACTTTTATTATTTGTAATTCTGTATATGTGTATTGTCTGTGTGAATGAATACAGGTGCCCACACAGCTTACCAAAGGCATTGGTTCCCAAGGAATGGCAATTACAGGTGGCTGCCTGACAGAACTAGAATAAAAACAAGGGCTCATTCTACTAAGCTAGCTCTCCAGCCCCCACTATTTTAAGAAGCAGCTGAGGGCTGAGAGAGTCTCATCGGTTAAGAGCACATACTGCTCTTCCAGAGGACCTGAGTTCAGTTCCCAGCACCCACATCAGACAACTCACAACCACCTGTAACTCCAGCTCCAGGGATCCCTTGCCTCTTTGAGCACTTGAACTCACATAAAAGATTTAAAACATCTTTTTAATGAGAAAAAAGTAAATAAAGGAGCTAGGGAGAATATTCAAGATAGTAAGTAAATTGCTTTGCTGCACAAGCAAGAGGATCTCAGTTCAGCCCTCAGAATTCACACAAACGCTAAGCATAGTGGCACAGCCTGCAATCCTAAGCCTTAGGTAACACAGACACGAAGACCTCTGGGACTTAATGGCCAGTCAGACCAGCTAAATCAGGGAGTTTTGGTTAAGAGACTCTGCTTCAAAAAATAAAGTGGAAGCTGGGCAGTGGTGGCACACACCTTTAATCCCAGCACTTGGGAGGCAGAGGCAGGTGAATCTCTGTGAGTTTGGGACCAGCCTGGTCTACATAGTGAGTTCCAGGATAGCCAATGCTGTTATACAGAAAAACCCTGCCTCAAAATAAATAAATAAATAAATAAATAAATAAATAAATAAATAAGTAAAATTTAAAAAAGAGAAAGAAAAAGGTGGAGAACAATCAAAGATACCCAAAGTCAATCACTCACACTCACACTCACACACACACACACACACAGAGTAGATGAATGAGTAGCTAGAGAGATGGCTCAGTAGTTAAAAATCACTGACTGCTCTTCCAGAAGACCCAAGTTTGATTTCCAAAAGCCACATGACACCTCACACCTATATGTAACTTTAGTTCCAAGGCATCTGACACCCATTTCTGGCCTCGAGGGCAGCAGGCACAAAGTGGTACACAGACATACAAGCAAACAAACCACCCATATATATAAAATTTTTTAAAATACATGAATGAAGTGGCACAGCCTGCAATCCTAAGCCTTAGGCAACACAGACACAAAGACCTCTGGGACTTAATGGCCAGTCAGACCAGCTATAAGAAAATACTTAATATGAGTTATTCAAGAGCCCCAAATGAGCTTTCTCTTGTCTGTATGTTTCCTGATAGCACAGGAAATAAGCTTTGAGAGAGAAAAATCTCAGGTGACTTTCAATCCCAGAAAGAGCCACTTCTGATAACTTATGAACAGAGTAAGTATTACATAAGAAAAACAAGACCAAAAAATAAAGGTACAAAACAAACATTAAATAGACAATGACTGACAGGTAGTTTGGAGGAGAATGGAGAGTTTTATAAATAGAACTATACATTTCAATTCCCTTTAGTTCTCCTGTGAGATAAATAATGTCTTTATTTAAAAAAAAAAAACAAAAACAAAAACAAAAAAAAACAGTGTCTTTGAATCAAAGAGAATTATTATTTCATGTATAGTCTGGCCATCAGACGTGATTTCTGCATTAAATCTGGAAGCTTGCTGATATAAAAGGCTGAGTCCGCCTGCCTTCTTAGATGCAGCCTGTCGCTTATTCAGTCACGAAAGAAAAGAGAGAATTACCCTTCTTGGACCCAACCCTGGAAGAGGCGCTGAAGAACTTCTTCACTGTGGTGACCTTGCGAGTCTTCTCATTGGTTTTCTTTTCCTCGAACTTGGAGAACGTGAGGGACTGGGCTCCTTGGCTGCTCTGACTGCTAGCGAAGGCCTCTTCCTCCTCCCGCTGAAGTCTGAAATTCAGGGAGAGGATGGTGAAAGATCTGGATCCTCACCAAGCTTTCCCAAGGTGTAAATGGTCTTGTTCACATGACTGAATAGAATCTAAAAGCTTTATAAACAGAACCTAAATATACCAAATGGGTCTGAGGTCTGGAAGACACAGCTATAAGATGAAATTCTATACCTGTTAAAGAGTTCAATGTATGGGTTTAATCCCCAGATCCCCAGTACTCAAAAACAAAACAAAACAAAAACAGATTTTACACTTACAATCTCAGCATTTGGGAGACTGAGGCAAGATTGCTGAGTTTGAGGTCAGCCTGGATTATAGACTAAGACCCTGTCTCAAATTACTATATTAAGAAACAGATCTATAGCTGGGCAGTGGTGGTGATCTGAGTTCCAGGCCTGCCTGGTCTACAAAATGAGTTCCAGGACATCCAGGGCTGTACAGAGAAACCCCCACCTTGGGGGAGAGAGAGAGAGAGAGAGAGAGAGAGAGAGAGAGAGAGAGAGAGAGAGAGAGAGAGAGAGAGAGAGAGAGAGAGAGAGAGAGAGAGAGAACTAAGGAAAGTTAAAGGTTGATAAGATGGCTCAGTGTGTAAAGTCACTTGTCGCCAGCCTGACCTCTTGAGTTTGATCCCTGAGTTCAAATGGTGGAAGGAGAGAACTAACCCCTGCAAGTTGTCCTCCATAGAGTACTGTGGAGTTCACACACTCACACACACAATAAATCAATCTAGGAGCTGGACCAATGGCTCAGTATTGAAAAGCACTTGCTGCTTATGTAGAGGATCTGGGTTTATTTTCCAGCACCCACATAGTGGCTCACAATCTCCTATAATTCTAGACAATCTGACATCTTCTTCTGGTCTCCTCAGACCAGGTATGGTATATGTACATACATGCAGGCAACCACACACATAAAAATGTTTTTTAAATGTAAAAAGAAATATAATGTTAAAATGTTAAGGCTTGGGATGTAGCTTAGTCGATGGACTGCTTGCCTAGCACTCACAAAGCCCTGCATGCACACATGGTGGACACACCTGTATTCCCAGCACTTGGGAGGTAAAGGCAGGCAGTATCACAAGTTCAGGGTAATCCCTGATGTCACAGTAAGTTTGAGGTCATCTTGGGATACAGAGAAAGAGCCTGCCTCAAAATATCACTAAAAATCCAGCAAGATTATCTCAGTAGGTCAGCTAAAAGTACTTGTCACCAAGCCTGATGACCTGAATTCAATTCCCAAAGCTCATATGACAGAAGGAGAGAACCTCTGACTTTCATACATGGAGACAACCCCTCCATAGATAGACAGGTAGGTAGGTAGATACATACATATACACATAGATGTATAGATGAATAGATAATTTTTAAATTATATACATTATGGAAGGTGTGTGTGTGTGTGTGTGTGTGTGTGTGTGTGTGTGTGTGTTATGGAACTGGAAAGATGTCTCAGCAGTTAAGAGCACATACTGCATTACAGAGGACCTGAGTGCAATTCCTACAACCCACACTGAGCAGCTCACAGGGATCTGATACTCCTGGCCTCCTCAGGCACTTGATCTCACATGCACATACACAGAAACACATATAATTAAGAAATAAAATAGGTCTCTATGTGTGTATACATTATATATATATACATATATATTTTTATATATACATATATGTGTGTGTATATATACATATACAATATACACATATATATGCAACACATATTATTTAAAAAATACGTAACAGGCTGGCTGGAAAGATGGCCCGAGGGTTAATAGCATTTGCTGCTCTTTTTGGTTTTTTTTGTTTTTTGTTGTTGTTGTTGTTTTTTGACAGAGCTTAAATGAGGAGTTTATTTAGAAAGAGAACTGAGGGGAAAGGGAAGACACATAGAGGCACTGGGAACAGAAGAGGGGACAGAGAGAGAGAGAGAGAGAGAGAGAAAGCGTTCATAAATAAAGAAGGAAACGGATTTGCTGGAATGGATGCAGTTCAGAGGCAGAGCTCAGGCCCATGCATGAGATCCTCGCTCAGGCATCAGCACTGAAAATCAGGAGCAGGATGGTGCAGCACTTTTCCCTAACCAACAGCTGTAAGGGACATCACTCACTATCTAGAGGACAATTCCCAAAGCAGAGTGGAAAGCAAGTGCTTCTGGAACACAGGACATAAAAACTTCACCAGGACAAAGGTCTGAGAAGGTTCTACAGCGGTGACACTAGGGGTACATCTACAGGATGACTAGGAGACTACTGGGCAAAAGTATAGTTTCTAACAGGAAGTGACAGGCATGAAGTGTGGCTTCTAGCCAGGCTTGGTGGCTCACACCTGTAACCCCAGCACTTGGAAGGCAGAGGCAGGAGGACCACTGATGAGATGGACTATGTGCCGAGTATACTGAAGTCTCCAGATAGCGTGGAATTCTGCAAGCCAACTATCATTCTGGAACTCGTTGTGTGGCAGAGAACCCAGAAAGATTATAAACCCAACAAGTTACCCTGTTTATATCTGGACTTTAGCTTAATGCAAGGAGCTATATAAAAACTTAAGAGGCTAGAAAAATAGCTCAGCAGTCAGGCTCTGCAAGCAGAGCTCAGGCACTATTCTCTGAGCGTACCACAGATGTGAACGTGAACAGAGCAGTTATTCAACAAATACCAGGTGACTAGACAAGGAAAAGCAGCATCTGGTTTGATCTTCTACTGAGACAGCATCACAGTCTGCAGGATATCATGGCAAAGGATGGACTTTACTCCTGGCATTTCCTGAGCCCCTGCACTCATCAGCACTTCCATCTCTTAAGTTTTGTCATACTAGTATTTGGAGATGACACAGCTACTTTGTAGTAGTCCCATTTTAAAAGAAAAATTAAATGTCCACAATTCAAGGACCACGTACTTAACTAACTAGGTGTTGACTACTATGTGTTTTATCACTGTGCTTGCTACATGCCTGCCATGCTGGGTATGTCAAAAGAATGAGGAAAGCAATAGTTAAGAGCCACACAAACCTTGTGTGCAGCATATCACATGTATGACCTCAATTCATCTCCATCACAAACTGTGCTTACCTTCAAAAGAGGTAAGAACAGCACATTCAAATATAAAATCAACAAAAATAAAATGAAGAAATCACTAAAAGTGATTTTATTAAGTGTTGCCCAGGAAAAAGAAAGAATTCTCTCTTTATGATGAACCTGCTGATAGGTTTTAATAAAAGAGAGAAGCATGGCCAGGCAATGACAGGACTTTGTACCTGGTTATGTCACTGGTAGCCACACCCCACCTCCACCTAGCCAGTGAGTTCCTTTTACCTTTCTGCCAGTTCCCAGTCCTCTTGGATCTGTTTCTGCCTGGCCTTGTGGTACTCCTCCCTCCAGCACTTGGAGCAGAAACCCTGCCAGGCAGGGTTGCCATAGTAACCACATCCTTTCTTGCACAGGAGCTCAGATTGATCCACATGAATTCCCCGGCGTTCGGACTTCAAGCTCATCTTCTTCCTGATAACCAAGGAGTGAGAAAGCATGGCAAATTAATGTATGTACTACCATACTACTAAAATATAATAACACTCATGAAGAAAAATTCAAGTGAGTCTAAGATCTTCAAGTGATAAGGGGAGAAAAGAAGAAGAAAGGGAAAGAAGACAGTGCAAGGCCCAAAGTTAAACATGGCAAGTCCCAGCAGAGTCACACTGAAGAAATACACAGTGCGCCTTAAGAGACTAATACTGGATTAAGACCTGAGCATAAAGCTTTAAACTCCTAGAGGAAAAGCTTCCTGACACTGACAAGGACTCTGTCAATACACCAAAGCACAGGTGATAGAAGCAATAAAAACAGACAAATAGGATGATAGCAAACTTGAAAACACCTGCATAGTAAACAAAGCAATCAACAGAGTAAAAATGGGCAGTCTGAGAAATGGGAGAAGACATTCCCAACCTCTACAGAAAAGGTAAAACCCAGAGCATAAAAAGCACACCGACAACCCAACAACTCCCAAAATTGTCCACTGGCCTCCTCACATGTGCTTGTGGCACATGCTTATACACAAACAAAAATTAATAAAAATATACTTTGTGTAATGGCCAACAAGTGAGAATGGTAGTGCATGCCTTTAATCCTAGCACTTGGAAAAGGGGCAGATGGATCTCTGTGAGTTCTAGGCCAGCCAGATAATCACAGTAAGACCCTGTCTCAAGCAAACAAACAAAAATGACTAACAAAGAAAGACTGGGCATATTGGCATATGCCTCTAATTCCAGAAATTTGAGGCAGGAGGATTGCAGGGTCTAAGCCCACCTAGCTTACAGAAGCCTTACCTCAAAATAAATACTTAACAGTCAGCAAACACAGGAGAGAAACTGCTGGGATAAATCAAAACCACAATGAGACATCACTTCAAGAACTCTTCTATCCTCTCAGTAGGGGTGTAAAGAGATGCAGCCACCACAGAGGCAACCATTCATTATAAAGAACCTGCTTTTCCATCCAGAAGACTGGGAACTGGAGGTGATTAATAACCTGGTGATCTGTGTTACCTCTAAGGCCAGGCTATCAACCAGGACCAGAGGGGGCTAATAGTCTAAATGACCTCAGCACTACCTGTTGACCAAGACCACACCAGATCCTTCCCTAGGCCCTTAAGGTAGTACAGGTAGCCTATCTCTAGAACCCATCTTCCTGGAAAGAATGACATGCACTTTGAGTTTCAATATAATTATACCTCTTTGTACACCAGGGGTTCTATTACACCAGGAAACTTTTCCTTAAATTGTACTGTGTTTACATATGCTGGAAATAAAAGACCTGGCATCAGACTCCCAAAGTTTGATCCAGGCTGACTAAGTCATCTCTTTGAGGTTTGCTTCCCTACCTGCCATGACATTTGCAGAGAACCCCACAAGACCCTATCTTTAAAAAAAAAAAAAAAAAAAAAAAAAAAAAGCAGGTGTAATGAATGTCATAGGCCTTCAATCCCAGCACTAGAGAGACAGCGACAGATGAATCCCTGTGAGTTTGAGGCCACGCCACCCTGATCTACATAGAGAATTCCAGACAGCCACAGCCACAGTGACTTAGCCTCAAAAATAAAAAAGATAAATGAATGAACCAGTAAAATATTTTAATTCATGGGATGGCAGGATGGCACAATGGGTAAGGAACTCACATAGTGAGGAAGACACAACTCTTTAAAGTTGTCCTCTGACCTCCACACACAGACACAAATAAATACATGAATGAATAAAATAATGTAAAGAGAGGGCTGAGGATCTACCTCAGTAGTAGAGTACTTGCCTAGCATGAGAGGCCCTGTGTTCAATCCATAGTAGTAGAAGAAAACATTTTAAAGTCTATAAACTGTACTAAAAACAAGTAACAGAGAATGGGTTCACAACTAGGTAAGATTACAAATTTTTTTTCTACTACATTATCTGCAATTGCTTGTCTAAACTCACACAGCTACACAAAAATTTCAATGGGAGCACTGTTTCCCATACAAATCATGCTCATGACTCAGTTGAGAACTTTAATTTTTTTGAGCAGAGTAAAGGTAAATTTATTAAGAATAAGAAAAATCCTGAGTGGGAGGGGCTTCAAGGGAGGGATAGCCTAGAACCATTAGCTACATTTTTGCTTTTTCAAAGAAAGATGTATCTATTCTAAGGATACTTTGTTTCAGACATTGTTTCTGTGGTTCCTTTCCCATGGTGAATGAGTTTTCCTTTAATACCTGATCTCAAGAGTTGAGGGCTTGCATGGGGCTGGAGTGGTTGCCTCAGTAGTTAAGAGCACAGGCTGCTCTTCCAGAAGACCTGGGTTCCACTCCCAGCACCTACTTGGCAACTCTAGGGTACCAGTTACACACATGGTACACAGACATACATGCAAGCAAAACTCCCATACACATAAGAACTTTTTAAACAAGAAAGATATTTGCCTAATAAAGAAAAAGATCAATTAAATATATTGACATCCACCTAACACCAGAGCCACCTCCAGCTCATCAAGCTCCAGCCTAAGGAGAAGCCATGTAAGTAGGGACACCATGGCTTGGCTGGTACATAGCTAGCTGTCCTCCAGCAGACCCATTCAAGACCCTGTTCACAAAGAGTTTGCCCTTCCTGGAGGGGTGAGGAAGCCCCACATTACAACCCTGCTACTGTGGCTCTCTATGAGACAAGTTCACTGATCCAACTCTCAAACTCTCCTCATGAATTCAGATCTGTGCTTCCAGAAGGCAGCTATTGGTGTTATTTAGGAGCTGGTGACCTAACTGGCATGTTTTTAAGAAGCCAATCTATGTGTTATCTTCCCCAAACATGTGACTGTTATGCCAAAAGATATGCAGATAGCACACTGGGCATATCGAGAATGTGTATATGAACCCACTGGGGGAGGGGGGCATAATGGTCCAGCAAAAGCCTGATGACCTGATTTCAATACTTGTAGGGGACCTGTTAGGTTCCCGGCACCAATGTTGGACAGTTCACAACTGTCCATAAGTCCAGCCCCAGGAGATCTGACACCCTCTTTTAGCTTCACCGGAATCTGCACTCACATGCACATGACTGCACATACACAGAAAACCCATTATCAGGGGGCAGACAACTGCCTGGAATACTGTGACCCCAGGGTACAAAGAATCTAGTGTATGTGGGTATCTTCACACAGACTCACAAACATGCATGGGATAAAAAATACCAATAATAAAATAAATAATTTTAAAAGTTCTTCCTTTTACTGTTCTAAGTAATTCTGAATGTCAGCTATTTTCCCCCAGTGGGTCACAAGGTAGCTAAGCACAAGATTAGGAGTAGAAGAAGAAAAAGAAAACAGACAGAAATCAGGTACTAGCGGTCTGACCACATTCGTGTGTGTAAGTTCTTAACATAAATTCAGGAAAATAAATATAGCATTTAAACAAGTCAGAATGTTTCCGGAACCAGTTTCAGCAGTTCAACTTTGAAGTAATCTTAGCTATGATCTCAGCACCTCGGAGGTAGCAGTGGTGTCAAGAGCTCAAGGTCATCCCTGAACACAGCAGGTATGAAATGAAGCCAGCCTAAGCTACATAGTGAGACTCTGTCTGAAGAAATGAACAAAGAAACCTACCTTTATTTCTTATAAGTTCTTATCTTGTGTGTTTTGTTACGGTGATGAAACACTTACAACACAATAAAATATTCAGGAACAACTGTAAAGACTGATTAAAACTGGGGCTGAGGAGATGGCTCAGTAAATAAGTAACTGATGCACAAGCATAAAGATTTGAGTTCAATCCCTAGCACCACCTCAAAGCTGAACTGACAATATGCTATGCACCTGTAACTTCAATGCTGGGCACTGACACAGAAAGAACCCTAGGACTTGCTAGCCAATCAGGATAGCCAAAATGTTGAGCTCAAAGCTCAGTAATGGACTCTGGTGAGATGACTCAGCAGGTAAAGGTGCTTGCTGCCAAGCCTGATAACCTGATTTCTATCCCTGGGACCCACATGGTGGAAGAGAAGAACCATCTCCCAAAAGCTGTCCACCACAAGTAAGTGGTGGCAGGCACGCTCACCCATACTAATTAACTAATTTTTTAAAATTTTGATACAGGGTTGCACTACGTAGATATGGATGGCATGGAACTAGCTCTGTAGACCAGGCTGGTCTCCAATTCAGAGATCTGCCTGCCTCTGCCTCCCAAGTACTGGAAGTAAAGGTGTGTGCCAACACAATTGGCAAAAAAAAAAAAAAAAAAAATCTTCTAAAAATTACGAAGGACAGCAACTGAAGAAGGTGGTCTACCTAACTACAACTTCTGGCTTCCACACACATGTATACCTATCTACATATAAACACATACAAAAACCACACACACAAAATAGATGAAACTCTCATCCTACTAGTGGATCTATATATGTACCAAAGTATGCACTCAGACCTCAGACCCTCATATGCTTTCTGGAGCCACCACATTGCCTCTGTATACACACGTTCTGCCCCTCAGAACCAAAGCTCTACTGGCCAGAGAGGTTTGAGCACAACCTCACCCTTTGGCTGAATATTTAGGTATGCAGACCCAAGGTGAACCTCAGAAGGAAGTCAGGCATAACCCGAAACCAAAAGTGGATCAAAGTGGATGCAGAGAAAAGGCCTGACTGACATGTGAGCTGTAAAGATAGAGAGGGTGCACTAAACACTAGCCTCTTAGGATGCTCAAAATTGAGTGTGTGTGTGTGTGTGTGTGTGTGTGTGTGTGTGTGTGTGTGTACGAGAGAGAATGAATTAAGAACTCAGATGTCATCAAATCCTCAGTGATCTCCATTTCCATCCAGCATCAGAAGCTGGGCCTGCAACACAGTTTGAAGAAGCACAGGGAGATCTTCCTACTCTTCTGTGTCTGGTGGTGGGTGTGTGGTGGGTGTGCATGTGCTCACATGGAGGCCAGAGATCAACCTCAAGTGTCATTCCTCAGGACTCCATTGCCCACCCCACCTCCCAAGCAC